TCCTGTGAAACACATTTCAAACTGATAAATGCCACGGTAATTCAATGAGAAATTCCAATTAGGAACTGATGAAAAGTGTATCTGCGAAACAGAGTTATACTCTAAGTGTTCCTGAGGAATTGATATTAGGTATTGATTATGAATGTACCAGCAGGATACATTTCAAACTCATAAATGCCACTGTGCTCCAATAGGGAATTCCGATTAGGAATTGATTATGGATGTTTCTGCAAGACAGACTTTATACTAATAGAGTTCATACGGAATTGATATAAGAAACTCATTCTGAATGTATCTGCAACACACATTTCAAACTCATAAATGCCACGGTATTTCAATAAGAAATTATAATAAGGAACTGATTGTGAATGTATCTGCAAAACAGTTTATACTCAAAAATTCCCATTATAAATGTATCTGCAATACACATTTTCAACTCATGAATGCCACGGTATTTCAATGAGAAATTCCAATCAGGAACTGATTATACATGTATCAGCAGAACAGAGTGCATACTCAAAGACTTCGAAAAGAATTGCTATTAAGAACTGATTATAAATGTATCTGTGAAACACAGCTGATACTCATTGAGTACATGAAGAACTGTCAATAGGAACCCATCATGAATGTACCTGTCAAACACATTTCGAACTGATAAATGCTACGGTGTTCCAATGGGGAATTCCAATTAGGAACTGATGATGATTGCTATAAGGGACTCATTATGAATGTATCTGCAATACACATTTCAAACTCATAAATGCCACGTTAATTCAATAAGAAATTGCAATTAGGGACTGATTTCAAATGTATCTGCAAAACAGAGTTCATACTCATAGAGTTGCTATTAGAAACTCATCATGAATGTATATGCAGAACACATTCCAATCTCATGAATGCCACAGTGTTTCAATGAGGAATTGCCATCAGAATCTGATTATAAATGTATCTGTAAAACATAGTTCATACTCAAAGACTTCGTTGGAAATTGCTATTAGGAACCGGTCATGAATGTACATGCAGAACACATTTCAAAATCATGAATTACGATGTGTTAATAAGGAATTGCCATTTAGAACCGATTATGAATGTATCTGTGAATTACAGTTCAAACTCATCGACTCCATTGAGGTTTGCCATTAGGAACTGATTATAAATGTAACTGCAGAATACATTTCGAGCTTATAAATTACTGTTCCACTATCCAACTTGACTCTGATATATTCTCATATGTAAATAACCAGGAATTACTAGTAGGAACTGATTATGAATATATCTGCGAAAAACAGTTCATACTTATAAGAAAAAGGGAGAAAATCGCCATTAGAAACTGATTATATATGTATCTGCAAAATACATAGGATTATACGGAATTACTGTTTCACTATCCAACTTCATTCTCATTAATTCTCATATATATTTTTTTATAAGTTTCTATGAGACATTTTTGGCAGGGATGTAATTGAACCATCCAAGAGTGGTTGGTCATCACCGGTTCTATTAGTTCCCAAACGTGATGGCTCGTATCGGTTTTGTGTTGATTATCGCGCACTTAATGCAGTGACAAAAAAGGATGCTTATCCTATACCATATATTTCGTCAATACTGGACAGGTTACGAGGAGCACGCTACTTGAGTACGTTAGATGTAAAATCAGCTTTCTGGCAAGTCAGTGTGAAAGAATCCTCCCGGGAATATACAGCATTTACGGTTCCTGGAAGAGGCCTCTTTCAATTCAAACGCATGCCTTTCGGACTTTGTAATAGTCCACTGACTTGGCAGAGGCTTCTCGATAAAGCCCTTGGTGCTGACCTCGAGCTTAATGTATTGTTATATCTTGATGATATCATAATTATTACTCCAGATTTTGAGTCACATTTAACAGTTTTGGCTAAAGTATTCGATCGCCTCCATCAAGCTGGCCTAACTTTAAGTCCAGAAAAGTGTTCATTCTGCCGACCTTCTCTGAAATATTTAGGGTATGTGGTGGATTCTCGTGGACTCAGAGTTGATTCAGAGAAAGTCGAAGCAATTTTGAACGTTCCGTCCCCCAAAAATATTCATGAGATTCGTCGATTTCTGGGAATGGCAAGTTGGTATCGTAGATTCGTGCCAAACTTCTCCACCATTTCCTCGCCACTTACTCGTTTAACTCAGAAAAATGCTCGCTTCCTTTGGACAGAGGAATGCGAGAAGAGTTTTCAACAGATCAAAAGTCATCTGGTCTCAGCACCAATATTAACGTGTCCTGACTTCAACAGACCTTTCACTCTTCAAACTGATGCATCTGCGTATGGCCTCGGTGCTGTTTTGACCCAGCAGTTTGAAGAGGGAGAAAAAGTTATTTGTTTTCTTTCCAGATCCTTAACTAAACAAGAACGCGTTTATTCCACAACTGAGCGGGAATGCTTAAGTGTGATTTTCGCTGTCGAAAAGTTGCGCCATTATCTTGAAGGAACTCATTTTACCGTGATAACCGACCACGCATCTTTGATATGGCTTCATCGATTGAAAGACCCTACAGGCAGGTTGGCACGCTGGGCCTTAAGGCTCCAACCTTTTGATTTCACCATTATCCATAGAAAGGGACGGGAAAATATAGTACCGGATTTTCTTTCACGCGCCGTACCTGAAGCGATAGATTCGATTTCGACTGAGCATGCATTTTCCACCACCAACGATTCTTGGTATTTAAAAATGCTCGACGCGGTTTCGGAGAAACCGGACAAATATTCTCAGTTCAAAGTAGAAAATCGTCTTTTGTATAAATATGTCCGCTGCACAATTCCTGAACTATCTGATCATTCAGACTACTGGAAGATGGTTGTTCCGAAGGATAAGCGAAAAGACCTCATCAAGGCCAATCATGATGATATTCGATCGGGACATATTGGTGTATATAAAACGTATTGGAAGTTGCACCACTTTTACACCTGGCCTAAAATGAGATTTGATGTTTCAAAATACATTAAGTCATGTAGGGTTTGCGCTGAATACAAAACGGTGCAAAAAGCTCCTGCAGGATTAATGGGAAACAGACCACCCGTCACTAAACCATGGCAAGTTATCAGCCTTGATTTCGTGGGCCCTTTACCGAGAACTTCTCATGGTAATACTCATATACTGGTAATCAGTGATTATTTCAGTAAGTACATAATAACTTCGGCAGTTCGTTCAGCCACAGCTAACAACTTGTGTCGCATTGTGGAAGAAAATATTTTCCTGATATATGGATCACCACATACGTTGATTTGTGATAATGGCGTGCAGATGAAATCTAGGGAGTTTCAGAAACTCTGCAAACGATATTCTGTCAGGTTGTCGTATACACCTCTGTATTATCCGAGAGCAGACCCCTGCGAACGGGTAAATAAAACCTTAAAAAATATGTTGTCCATATACGTGAAAAGTAATCATCGCAAATGGGATGAGTGTTTGGGAGCCGTTTCTTGTGCCATAAGAACTTCAAAAAGTGAAACCACTGGCTTTTCACCATATTACGTGAATTTTGGTCGTGAGTATGTTTCTACTGGTGACCAACATCGACATCTTCTGGCTAACACGCAATTGCAAGAAGATGCTGATAACGAAGTTCAGAAGCGCCTTCTTGGGTTTCAGAAAATGTATCGTACAGTTGAAAAGCGAATCACTGCTTCTCAAGAACGAAATCGTAAAGTATATAATCTCAGACGGAGACCCCTACATTTGCAAGTGGGCGACGAAGTATACCGAAAAAGTAAGATAAAGTCCGATAAGCTCAACTTCATCAATGCCAAACTGGCTCCTGACTATGAGGGACCCTTTATCATTGCCAAAAAGAAAGGCACTTGGACGTACGAGTTGTCAGATCGACTAGGCAACTCTAAAGGAATCTGGCACGTACAAGAGCTCAAACCTGTGCAAGCAACTGACGATGCCGATTCTGACCAAGACTGAGATGTTCAGATAAGGATGGTACTTGGGCTGGTTATGTTACTGTCTTTTTGGAAGGGGGGAGTGTAACGGTTTATTATTAACACTAATAGTATAGCACAATTAAATAATTATTCAATGACAAATCAATCGGATTTACTACGATCGATACAATCCATAGGCAACCCGTCATACTCCTCAGAGCTCTGATTGTTTCGCACGCGAACACCTGTTCAATTACCTCGATAAATATTTATTTCGATTCGTCGCGCCGTACCGTAGGAATTTTTATAAATTGGTAGATATGAAATAGTTCGATGAAGAATAGCACCACCATGACCGTGCGCTTCCAATCTTTAGCAGCGCGATCAGGTTTTTGGTCGTTAATAAAAAAGTGGCTACTATTAATCGCTGTATTATGAATTTTCATACGAGAGAAAATTATTGTAATTGATTTTTTTATCTATTTTCACATAAAACTGAAGGTTTCAACATATTCAACCCCGTTGCCCTTCTCTATGTGGCAACTATGTCCTTGAGAGAAATTGGAATTTATTAAATATGATTTTATTCTGGAGAAATTTGCATATATTTTGTTGGTACTCTCTATTTACTTCGAAGAATAAGGGGAAAGGGCATCGCTTCCGACATTTTTGGTTTTCTGGTAGATGTTTCTGATTAAACACTTAACGAACGGAAAAGTGATTTTTGATCAACTTTCTTGGGAAGGATTATTCTATTCGTTTTGTGATTGAAGTTTCACACTTGATGCATTTGGTGTTTGCGGTGAAGCCGTTGAATAGTGTGAAACTACCGTTTTTCGGGATTATTTAGTCGAGCATCCTGATTCCTGCCTACATGGATGTCCTACCAACATAGCGGTCAATAGCTAATTCCGCAATTTTATTGGAACCCTCTACAGAGGTATTTATAAGAAGTTCACATTACTTAAATAGGTAATGGAAATACTAATCTTATTGAAAATTATAGGGTTTTAATATACGCTGAGGATTCCTCCAATTTGAACCTCAGTTTGGTGAAATAAAACCTTTTGGTGCAATAAAGTCTTGGTGGAATAAAACCTGAGGTGCTCAAGGACGTTTTGGGTTTTGTTAGGCGAAACAGCGATCCAGAACAGGTCAGTCCATTCCATTTTCCCTTGTTGCCAACGAAATGAAGTGATGACTACCCCGCCAGTTTGATTGATACTCAAAAACATTTATAGATTCGATGATAAATACTTTCACGATTTCAATATTCGACCACCTGTGAACGAAAGGTATAGCGCTATAAACTTCGTATCGTCGATTCAATATTTTATGGAAAATATTCGTGAATTAAGAATTAATTAAGAATTACTAGAGTATTTCCATGATATCATTTTTTTTTGTAACTATACTCAAATTACACGTAGTATCACTCTTTTCTGGACTGTTTTGTTGATCTGTTTCACCCCTGTTAACACATTGAGGGATCGATATAAATTCAAACTTTTTCTTACATGAAAAGCTGATGGTCATCTGAATAAGCGATATTCAGTGTTATTTCGTGATTTAGGCTGAATTATCTTTCAGATTGTTTGTGGTGAGCTGATGAATATATCAACAATCACTAACTATATTTCGATCTGTATTTATTTTTGTTCAAGCATTTTTTAAATTACGTGGCGCCTAGGGATAAAATCTAGATATATCTAACATTTCGTCAGAATTATCGGTTTAACTGACAATGCTTGAACCTAGTATTTGAACATTCATTTCTTGTTGGCCATCAGATTGTTTGTTTTGATAATTTTTTTTTTGTTCTCGTCGTGAATCCAATAATCTCTTCAATATTACTGTTGGGCCTTTCGCGCTGAGCTAGTTAGGCAATTTTTGCCACAATTTTTATACGACCCTGAGAAAGCCCTTTCGGAGAGAAACCACGGGTTCAACCTAGGTAAGTACCTACTCGAGATTATATTTTTTTTTGTCTTGTGGTCGGTCAATCTTGCATTTCAGATAACCTGGATGCGATAATAAATTATAAGTTATATTTGTAAATTTTGAGACGTGGCAAGTCCCCTGTTAATCTATGCTAGAACGAATGATAGGCACTTCTTCTTCTTCTTCTTCTTCTCTGCACAGGTGGGCGGGTGCGTAGACCCCTGCACTGAGGCCTCTTCAGTCGGGCCCATTGTGCGCCCGCTTGTCCTGTGAATCAACTGGGCATGCCGATTTCTTTGACGAAATTCAGCAGCTTCCTCAGCTGAGTCGCTTTCACATCCTTTGGGTGCAGTACAATGCTCCCAAAGGCAGCTTTCCTCTGATGCACCAGCGCGGGGCATTCAGTGAGTATGTGTGATGATGTTTCATCATCCTCCAAACACCATCTGCAGATGGGATCCTCTTTGATCTCTATGAGTTCTAGGTGCCTGTTGAGGTGGTTGTGCCCAGTTAAGAGCCCAACTTCCATCTTGAGATCCATTCTATTAAGTGACAGGATCTCTCTCGTGAGCCTTTTTGAAGGTTCCTATATATGGAGCTTTGATTGTCTCATTCCTGGTGTGTCCCGCCATGTTTCAAGGAACTGCCTCTGTAGCATTTCCTTCATGAAGGACGTAGCCGTTGGTATTCCCAATATCGGTTCTGGTCCAATGGGTGTCGTTCCTGAACCGATCTTGGCTAGTCTGTCTGCCTCCTCGTTCCCCGGGATACTAGAGTGTCCTGGAACCCACATGAGGCTGACTTTCCTAGTTTTTGCCATATTTTCTAAGGCACTTCTACACTCGGACACCAATTTAGTTGTGATTCTATTGGATCTCAATGCCATAATAGCAGCTTTGATGTCCGAGCATATGGTGACTGGTCCACGTCCACTTCTGCCGAAATTTCCTTGGACACACGTCCGAATTGCGAACACTTCGGTCTGGAATACCGAAGCGTATTTGCCAAGAGGTACTGAGATTCCTTTTCCTGTTCCTCCTTTATATACTCCTGCACCAGACCCGCCACCAAACCTTGAGCCATCCGTGAATCAGGTTGATTCGTTGGCAGGAAGCAAATCTGGTGTATTGCCAGTCCATTCCTCTCTTGTAGGAAAAATGACATGCGGAGCTTTATTGGAATTCAGAACTGGCAGAGTGCTGTCCCTTACCATCAGCAGACTGGGACAGCTTTCTTCGGCCTTGTTCCATATTAGGGAGTGTCCATAGTCTGCCTTTTCGATCCATTGGTTTGCACCTTTGAGTCTGTAGGCAGTGCGCATGGCTTCATGCTCTACAATCAGATGTAGAGGGAGCAGACCTAGTAGGACCTCAAGGACCCTAGTGGGCGCTGTTCTCATAGCACCTGTCATTCCTAAGCAAGCCAGTCGCTGAACTCTATCCAGTTCATGTCTGATTTTGCTCTTTTTAGCACTGGTCCACCATATGATTGACCCGTACGTTAGTGTTGGGTAAATAAGTGCCGTGTATATCCAGTGAAGGGTCTTAGGTAATAGGTCCCACGTTTTCCCGAAGGCTCTTCTGCATGCCCAGTAGTAGCATAATAGCCTTCGTGGTGCGATCACCTATATGCTCATTCCAGGTCAACTTGGAGTCGATTGTGACTCCAAGATATTTGGTTGAGCCTCTGTATTGAAGACACCTTCCTGAAAGAAAAACCTCTGGAAGTGTCCCTATTTCACATTTCTGATAGGCACTTGAGAGGTAGATTTTTTAAAAAATTATACCAGTTAACATTTATAAGTACATGAATTTAAATTATACACTGTGTTAGCGAATCTTGATGTTATAAACGCGTGGATTCGACCAAAATCTTAACTAGAACTATTGATTAACGAGTCTCCGTTAATCTATGCTAGGACGAATGATAGGCACTTATAAAGAAGTAGAATTTTTTTCTTGAATCAGAACACCTTTAACATTTATAGGTATATGAATTCAAAATAAATCTTCATCAAGGGTTCACGAGTCATAGATTAAATGTTATAATTGAGCAATAATATAGAGCGTGTCTCAGTTTAAACGCCCCCCTCCCTCTATATCTCAGCTATTAATTAGTCGTGCGATTCTCACCAAATATGGACCCGTATGAGTGCCGTGCGGTTTTATTAAAGTGGATAAAGAAGGTCAATTTTTATGAAATCATATTAGGCATTTTTTTACAGGGAAACTTACCATATAATTTTGTTCCTCATGGTTTTTCAACTCCCATATGTGAGTTTTCATAAAATTTCCATGGAGAGTTTCAAAAAAACAGGTATCTAAATAGCATATTTGCGAATGTAAATAATTATTTACGAGGAAATGGTGGGTTCAAAATTGCAGAAAAAAGTATTATATGTTATTGCTTCATCTTTTAAATCATTAATCCGTTTATTCAGAATTTTTTAATGATGTCCTGATTTTTTGTATAGGTAATATGTAGGTTCGAAAGCATGGAAAATAATGATATATAGTTAATTTTACTGCAAAAAAATTCCTGATATGATTTAATTAATAATCGACCCCACTTTATTCTGATGAGAATGCACGGCACTGTCCAAAAAGATGTTCGTCTCTGAATACCTGATAATATTGATAATAATAATTGATATCTGTCCAAATTTCGTACGAATCTCATGACTAGTTGAGATATTGAAAACTCCAAAACAAAATCTCGAATCAGATGTTGTTCTCTTCCGAGTGATGCCCTCGAAACATTCATCATTCCATATACGGGGATGTGGAAATTTAACTTAATTTCAAATAGAACACCCTATATTTCATTGCATATCTTGAGAGGGGGATTTCTGCTGATTTCGATAGTATATCAGTTTTATACATTCCATGGAGTAGGTAATACTGGATGAATCGAAGGAATACAAATTGAAATTGATTGAAAATGTGATCGTGATATCATCTAAATGAATTCAAGTTTGCTTTCAGGTGAACTGACAATAAATCCTACCGATAATCTCCTGGTTTCAGGTCAACTCGAGTCGCATAACATGATTTCATAACAAAAATTCCTATTAATATCAAGTTTTCATTCAATCGATTCACCCAGAATTACTCCATGGAATGTATGAAAACAATATGATCTTGAAATCAGCGAAAATAACTTTTTCTAGATATGCAATGAAATATATAGGGTATTCCATTCGAAAAAGTTTCCACACATCCCCTTTATGAAATAATATAATATAATATTATATTCCATAATGTTTGGAGGGCAACATGCGAAAGAGAAAAACATCCGATTCAATATTCTGTCTCGAAGTTTTCAATATCTCAATCAGTTCTCGAGATATTGAGTGTTGGAAGTATGAACTCCATATACTCAATCACCCTGTACTTATAGCACCAAGAAGGAGAACATCGATCAGATACAGGCGGCCCACAAGAAGTACAAAGAAATGTGCGAGGCTCTGGCCGAACGGTTGCTGGACTTGCATTGCAGACTCTTGTCTTTGTACATTCTCCAAGACGCCGAATGTCTGGATTGGGAGAACGAAAAGCCCTTTTCGGAATCCGAAAGGGGGTCTTACATCATCCAGATGTGGTGGCTGTACATGCAAGGTATGGTAGTCCAAGTACATAAATATGTACCCCTAGTTATTTTTAGATGAGTCATAGAGTCAGTGATATGCAAAGGTGATGATATCCCAAGAGCATGACAAACAGCCGACTTATATTTTATTTATAACTAGCAGACCTCGCAAACGATGTTTTGCTATACCGGGTGGCTACGGAAGTATTGCCTACGGAATATCTCATCAGTTATTGTATGAAGTAGGTTTGTGAAATTTGGAGCGTCGATAAAATGACATGAGAGCTAGAATTTGAGCATATTGACATGTCGAAGTTAACTTCTGGTCTAACCGGAAGTAACATCAACTTTCTTATTTTAAATGGAAACCCTTTTTCTTTTCTTTTCATTTTATTCAGCATTCAATTCCTTTTTCAATGACATATCACAAGTTGGTATCTAAACAGAAACTAGATCAGAAAAAAATTATTATTGAAATTCACCGAGTAGAATAATAATTGGATTTTTTGGTATTTCATTTCAAAAAATGACTTTCTATTATATCATCAGAAAGAAATAGTTATGCCGAATAGTACAGGCAAGAAAAAAATGCATGTTCCTATTTAAATTATGGACCTACAGAGTATTGTTTTTTCCCCAATTTTTCCAATATTTTTTTTGCGGCTTTTTATAACGCCGACGAATGAAAATGAAATATCACAGTAGTAGCAACTGTCATCAAGTGACGTACGGTTTCCATAGCCAACTTTTCAATTTTTGGCTTTTATTTTGCTTCCACGGCCTACTCGGTGAATTTCAATAATAATTTTTTTCTGATCTAGTTTCTGGTTAGATACCAACTTGTGATATGTCATTAAAAAGGGAATTGATTGCTGAATAAAGCGAAAAGAAAAAAAAATAGGGTTTCCATTTAAAATAAGAAAGTTGATGTTACTTCCAGTTAGACCGGAAGTTAACTTCGTCATGTCAATATGCCCAAATTCTAGTTCTTATGTCATTATATCGACGCTCCAAATTTCCCAAACCTACTTCATACAATAACTGAGATATTCCGTAGGCAATACTTCCGTTGCCACCCGGTATACATTTTTTCTATTATATATATTTTTTCAGTTCAATATTCATCAAAACGCTATTATTATTTTATTTTCTACGTCTCTTCAGTTTCGCTATCCATAAAAGCGTGTTTCTTCAGTTTCTCAAATTACCATTTATTTCAACTCTTTTTTAGTTCACTTGAATTTCCCAATATTGACGAAAGGATCATAATTCCTGACTCCTAAAACTCCAGATAAAAATTTTGAATAGAATCGGAACATAATTATTACAAAACTCTTCCACAATATTGGATGTACCATCTTTAGGCGGCTTGGTGGTCGAGAGCGTGAAGACGCTGAGTTCGTATGGGTACTCCCACCAAGACATAGGTTCGAATCCTAGTTAGGCCATGGATGTTTGTGTTTGTATGCTTACCCAGCCCCGCACAATAAAAGTTTTGACTTATGAGGCGTTTGGTCCCAGTGCTGGGACCAACGAGGTAACGAGGTAATGCAATTGCAAAAAAAAAGAATTCCCTGATTTTGATGAAAGAATCATAATTTTTGATCCCGAAAACGCCCACTTACAAATTTTGACTATTATCAGTATAGAATTACAAAACTCATCCGGTATATTGGTTCTACCGTCTTGAATATCCAAACCCTGCCCTTTGCAAATTTTGATGAAAGAATAATAATTTCCATACCTAGAAAACACCTAGATAACAATTCTGAAAAGAGTCGGATCAGAATTACAATACTATCGTCCGCCATATTGAGTCCGCCATCTTGAATTTTCTAATTTTGACGGAAGAATCATAATCTCCGACCCCAATAACCACCAGATACCATCAAATTTGGATAAAATCGGATCCTAATGACAAAATCCGCTATTTTGGATCCGCCATCTTGAATATTTCTATTTTGACAAAGGAGTCATATTCCCCGAACACAAAAAACCCCTAGGTACCAATTTTGAGAAGAATCGGATTATAATTATTACAAAACTCGTCCGCCATCTTGAACTTCCAAATTCTGCCCGAATTTTCTAGTTATGACGAAAGAATCATAATCCACGACCCCGAAAACCTCCAGATACCAATAATTACGAAACGTCCGATATATATGATTCGCCATCTTCAATTTCCTAATGATACCGAAATGAAAAATATTCTATAACCTTCTCCTGGTTCTAAGCTACCTCCCCACCAATCTTCATCCAAATCGATCCAGTAGTTTCGGAGCCTCACATATTTCGATTCCGAAGTGAAATTCCAATTTAATTAGTAGTATGTTATATGATGTTACTGGAGAAATTTTCATTCTATATTCATCATTCAGTTTATTTTTATGTTTCTAGCAGCTGTAAGCCTGTAGTCCAGGTGTTTTCAGAATGAAATGTTTTTTTTATGAAACTATTGATTGATTGATTGAACTGATAACCCCTCCGAGAAAAAAATCTTGGGCACGTCACTGGTTAAGTTAGACTAACCATCAAAGCGTGTTTTCTTCAGTATCTCAAACTACTATCCATTTTCTTCTTCTTTTTAGTTTATTGGAGATCTATCTCTTCAGTTTTCTAACCTACTATCTATTTTCAACTTCTGTTCAGTTTGACTATCTATGGAAACGTTTTCTATAAGTCGAAACACCATTTATTTGACATATTGAATACGTTATCTTGAATATTCTAATCATGACGGAGGAATAATAATCTGCGACCACGACAATCCTCAGATATAAATTTTAAATAGAATCGGATGGTAATCAATAAGCTCGGATCTGCCATTTTGAATTTCTAAATTTTGAATTTCTAAATTTTGACGAAAGAGTTATCTCTGGACCGAAAAACTTCCAGATACCAATTTTGGTCGTTCACCATATTGGATACGCCATCTTGAATTTTCAAATTTTGGGGAAAGAATCATAGTGTTCGACCTCCAAAACTTACAGATACCAATAATAGAATCGGAACATAATTACAAAATTCGTCCGCCATATTGAATCGACCATCTCGAATTTTGCAATTCTGACAAAAAACTTATAATCTTCGACCCCAAAAACCTCCAGATTCCAATTTTGAATAGAATCGGATTATAATTACAAAACTCGTTCGCCATAATGGATCCACCATCTCAAATTTCTCAATTTTTCCTCTCATAAAAACCTTCTTCTGATATCAACAAATAAGTACAACTCAAGAAGAATAAGTGAAATCGGTCAAGTCGTTTTACGATTCTATGGACATACAAACATTCATTTTTATTTACAAGGTGTCCCAGATCAAAGTACCATAAATTACACAGGGTGAATTAAATATCAAATTAGGCCGATTGAAGTCAACTAACCTCCATACGAAAATTCACCGTTGTGCCGGGAGAGGGCGATAAAGAACAATTTTACCCCACATCTTCTTCAATATTTCGAAATCCTTGAAAGGTACTGCTCTGAAATTCGTAGGGTAATTTAATATATTGTACGTGCATGGAAAACATGTATACCATTTCAATCATTATACAGAGAACATATGCCCCGATGGGTAGGAGGACGATCGGTCCTAAGAGCCATCTAGTGGCAGAAGTACAAAGGTGTTTAAGTAGATTATGTGAATTACCATACCTTGCGAGTACGTCGAATATAGCCCTACGTTTATATATTATTACAGAAAGGCAAACATGCTACGATTCTACAGACTATCCCAACACCAGATTTCTCACAGTGGTTTAATGCCCCATCGACAGATGGTGATGAACCTAAAATCCCAAGACCAAGAGATTTTAGAAAAATTTCGTGAATCGATAGTCAGCTGGTGCAATACAGTCTGTTTCAGTTCTGCCAAGCCTCATCAGTTGCACTAGGTCAGCTGACAGTCGATTCACGATGGGTGCTACTATACCGGGTGTCCCAGTATACCTGTTCCAATAGAGATTATCCCAGCCATTTCGATAGATGAAAATTTGAATATTACATGATCTACTACAATTCTAATGATTTGACATTATTATTGAAGTCAAAATCAAGATTACAAAAATATCGTAGCCTACTCTGCAATTCGTTCAATTTGAAATTTCAATCGTCGTTTTCTTCATCAAATCAAATTCAAAATACGAAGTGTGATACATCGTTGAAACGGTAATCTTGGGTAGAAATCAAAAATTGCAAAAAATACACAGGGTGCTATTTAAAATGAAAAAGTTAGAGTCACTTCCGGTCAAATCGGGCGTGCCTTTCAGTTTTTGTTTTTCTCAGTTGAACCTTCCTTGCACGAATTGGAGATCATGAGATTTTCAAATTTTTATTTTCCGAAATGGCTGAGATAATTCATTGGAACAGGTATACTGGGACACCCGGTATATGAAGTCAACCAAATGCCCCGAAGGGTAGGAGGACGATCTAGCCCTAAAAGCCATTTAGTGGCAAAAGTATATAGGTAGATTGTTTAAACAACCATACCTTGCGATTTCGTCGAGTATATAGTTATTGACCTTTTCATTCTCAAATTTCAGTTCAAGATTTCTGCTTAAAAAACTTGATTGACCAACAACATCATCATCATCATCATCAATAACTCAACACAAATGAGCCAAAAAATTGCAAAACATGATAATCGTCATAATCATAAACAATAAATTTTGTTAGACATCTCGAAAACAACAAATACACTTAAAAGTAACTGCAGTTAGAAAAAAGTGAGATGATTGATTTTGTCATCCATCGAAATATCGAAATATGGTCATTGCCGTACTCCAAAAAAAGTTACTGAATTGTTATCAAAGAGAATGTGAAATACCTAACTCCCTGTATATTTATTGAATTGGTACGACATGTTTCTCATGCACATTCACTTCAGTGAATTGCCCTAAATATTTGAGAGCAGAATCTCAAGGATTCCAAAATAATAAAGAAAATCAGGAAATTAAATTTTATTGTTCTTCTTCGCCCAGCTCTCAACAGCTCAACGGTGCATTTTCGTATAGAGGTAAGTTGATTTCAATAGGCCTAATTTGGTCTGTAGTTTCACCTGTAGAATTCATGGTACGTTGTTCTGGGACACCTTGTATATAGATATAGACTTACTCAATCAAAATCGCCTTGTGAAGTGTATTTCTCTTTTAATCAAACGACTTTGTTGTTAGAGTGAATTGTTCCCAATGAGTCGTATCAAGCTTTCGAGTTGCAATTATTGTAATTTGATGAAAGTACTTATGATTTCTACTATTACATATATTCATATTATTTGTCATTGAATAGGAACCAAAGAAGATTTGTGGAACACTGTACCGCCTAGCATGGCCCAGAGGGTCTTTTCGGGTATGCTGAATGAATCTTTGACAATTCTGACAATTCGCTACACGCAGGTGAGTACTTGTACTTATAAAAACTATGCAATATTTGCAATATGCCACTTCAGTTGTGAAGGTATCAGAAAATATTCCGCAATTCCTGTCCATATATTGAGTCTTCTTATCTCAGAGGTCTGCAAACATCAACAATATAGTCATATTTTTTCGAGGAGTTATTTGAACAAAAAATTATTTCATAACATGAAAATTCTCACTTATAATACCACTAGGAAATTCTATCGAGAACACCAACATTTTGAACATTTTTCCGAGTCGAAGACGAGGAAGAATTCTCTGAATATTCGTGTTCGAGAAAGTGTGTCCTCTGCTCGTAGGTTATAAATACTCCCCGTCAATATCCTTTACGTTAGTCCATTGGACATTCTTGTGAAACTTCTTTGATGGGATCTCTTGGAAACCTTCTTCAGAGCCAATTAGTGACCTTCCACAGACCATCAATTCAAGTGCATTACCTCATCAGTAATGCTAGATCTGGCCCAAGGGACACCCAAAAAAATTCCAATTCGAGGATTATTCGTACGTGCTATGGACATGCAATTAATATTCGTCAGCGGCGCTGATAGCTTGTCCTATAGATGTCCTACGGATGTATTCCGTAGTGCTTGATGAGAAATACTCTTGGATTTAGGTATTCGATAGTTGTCCCAGCTATGACCGTGGGCCCACCATGCACTCACGGCGTCGAGTATGGGTAGCCCCAGGTGATTCTAAGCACCTCTGGTTGAAAGCTCAGGGTCCACACTTTTATCATGGTAGTCGTACGTAAGAAAGGCTGCGAACGGACACCCATCAAATATGGGACTGGACGACATGGGTAGCTGGGCTTGCTCAGCGAAAACTGGAACTTTGGTGTACCTTGTGCCTTATTCAGTTCGTCAGGGAGGGGGCAGCCCCAAGCGATCCTACCGCCAGTCATCGTAGGCAAAGCCAAACCCTCTCCTGTAAACGAGGTGGAGGAACGTGTAAAAGTCCTCGAACGATCACTCATTCAACGGGACAAGAGGATTCTTGTCAACATGAGTAGCAATCAGGCGAAAGCCTCTTGCGACTGCGACCCATCAAACGTAACAAGAGGAATCTTGTTGACATGGGTACCTGGGGTGATGAGGATAACCCTATCAGGTCGTACATACGCCCTGCTGCTTCATCGATTGGGTTGGAATCCAGGGGCACGGGCTTTCAAAAATATCACCAGACTTCGGTAGAGGAGGTGAAGAAGAATCCCACTATGGGTCAAGTGAGAGAATATTTCGCCTGCATCGGCGAGTGAGCAGCGTTTCTGCTCCTCACCATTGGTATAATAAAATGGTAGCAGGAGAACATGCCGTTACATAACGGAAATGGCTCTACCGCGCTGATTTGGCGTATCTCCATATCGTCCATTTCTTTTTCGGGTGCTGTCGGTATAAGTGAAGGTATAAGTCAGGTGACCGGCAGTCATTCCCTAGGGAAGTCTTGTGAAGGGGAAGACTTGGTCTCATCATTGCTACACCCGGCAACTTATTGATTGATTGAGTTGTCCCAGATACATCCCTTAAGGACGTCCCTAGTTGGTCTTCAAGTCGAACATTTGTGCGTTCCACAGACGTACAATGAACGTCCGCGGTATCAAATTCGTCATCAGAGGTCAGTTGTGTTTATCACAACATGTTTGAGGAAACTTTTTTACATTCGATCACCAAATTTGAATGTCATCTCATTGTCATTTCGACGTCACCGTTAGGTGGGTGACATTGGGTATGTTCCGTAAATCAACTTGGTTATTTCGGTTAGTAGTTTTCCGTTCCGTAAATATGAAATGTTCGGTTGGTTGCTGAAAAAAGGTTATTTACGGAACTCGGTTGCTGAAAAAGCGGTAGATTCACTGTCACCAGAACGACCGTTGATTTTCTCTGGTAAGTTCGGTAAGCTCGAGTTGACGTTGATGTGATTTAGTTTTCAGTTTGATTCTTTGATTTACAAATCACAGGAAAAACAATTTTTCCATTTTAATTATTGCGTCAAGTTCCGATGGATTCGTTTACTGAAGTCAATCAATATTCAATATATTTTCAGTTTGATATGACTTTTTTTTCATTTTAGAACTCTACATCCTTTGCTCGTTCTTACTGTGCACAAGATTAAGCGATTTTTGGGTGCAATATAAGTGAAAATCAAATACTGGCAGAGCATGAATGTGTAAAAAACGATCAAAACTATGAATTGACAAATGACTGGTATTCCGTAAATAATCCACAACCGTAGTCACCAGTAGATAACCACTGTCAATATTGTTGGTACTGGCCCTGAAAGCATCGGATCGGTAACCTTGGTTGATTAACGGAACATATCCTGAAGTCAATGAATGTTTGTGATATGAAGTCATTGGGCTATGACTTGTTCACGTCACTTATCACGTCATACGACGTCAACTCCTGACGTCACCTTAGTCATTCAACTGACGTAAAACTACGTCAATGAAACGTCATCTGGTTGCCTGGGTAGTTCTTTCTAATCAGGAACCTAACTTACTGATTCTCATTCGTTCCATGACTATTTTTTCAGAGTCTACCGTCAGAGGCGAGATGTCGACTTATGGTAGTGGACATCAGCAACTTGTTGCTTTGTATCGCCCAATTGCTGCCTGCCATCTGTGAATCGGCCAAGGAACTCATTGGATTTTCCTACAATACCAGCAGCAAGATTCTGAGAGACATACACACCAAATGTCAGGAACTACTCAGCTGTCTTTTGCTAAGGGGCGCCCAACTCGAAGATCTGTACAAAGTAGGTATCAATATTGGCAGCATTGTTATAAAAGGTAGTCCAGAATTTTGTACAAAAATAATCAGCACTCAGTGTATATTTATTTTCAATAATTGCATAGGTATATTGAACAAAGATAAATATCAGAGGTGGTCCACTTAAAAATTATTAAACAAAAAACAACGAACCACGTCGATTCTTATTTGAAGAAAATCACCGCTTGACACAAAAAAGATAAAAACATACTTCAACCCTCTACTCTCCAGAGCATCATACTGAATAATTTGAATAGGAAACAAGGGTCATGAAGAATAAGGAAATATCTAGAGGAACATTTTGAAACGTGCCAGGCGAATTTGCAAATAGACTGTACTACTGTCTGGGGGTCAATGGAGGTAATTTTGAACATATTTGTGGGTAACTATTCGATAACTCATATCCTGCATTGATCTACCAACAAGGAAAAAACATCACTTCCAGTTCCAGGAAGATTTTATTGGGTCTCAACGCCAACAAAGCTTGTGGCTCATACGAAATCCCACCGATTGTCTTCAAGGAATGTGGGAAAAGAGTAATCAATGAAAAGTGATATTTTATAACCTGCCAAGAGGAAGAAAAATCGAAAAATTCCTCATGGACTTTTCAGTTCCGGAAACTATCAGTTTTGAGTTTTTCTACATATCCTTCAATTGCCTTCTCCTAATTGAGAATGAGGTCGACTTTTTCAAAATCAGTTATCTATTTTTATTCTGAAGAGCCGAACATTAGTTCTCAATGATGTATTAGGTTCAAAAAAGTAAATTGGTGAATTTGGAAAAATAGAGGAAACTGCTGTTCTAACCAACTGTGGCTTTCTTAGTATTTTTTCCCAATTGATCCAACTGGAAGGGGAAATGTATCATATCTGATAATATCTGTTTCAACGAAATGAATCGCACACACTGCGGAATATTCAGATGATGGGAATCAATTCCTACGAGTTATCAAAAATGTCCACTTTTTTCGCAGTTCGTCGTCTTTAGGAAATTTGATAGTCGAAATGTTTCTTTTCGGTATCGTGATTTGACTTACACCCTGTCACACAGCAGATATTTGGCCTATTCTTATGAGAAAGGTTGAAATAACTTACTTTGCTTTCAGCAATAGGAAATCATAAAACATAACTTCAATTCAGAAACAATTTTAGATGAGACTTCCACACACACGAACAACCCTTTCACTCATAACCCGATCACTGGAATATTCCTTACACTTTCATTGAAGATGGCTATGACTTGTTGCAATCCACAAACCTTTGCACTGCTAGTGTCAGAATTAAACTACCCTAGCGATGATATATGATGTATAATATAACCCTTGTTGCCTATTTTAATTGAAGGGGGGTCGCTTTGGGGAGTAGACAACGGTGTCTTTCTCCAAATAAAGAAAGGTATTTCGTTGTTACCGTTGAATATTTTTTTCAAGAATTATTGAGGGTTGTTATAGTCATAAGTCGAACACCCGGTATAAACTCAGTACCGAAACACCACAAGTTGTTTTCAATTCTTCTTCGAGATGTGATAAATGCTCTCAAAGTAATGGGACTTTTGCCGATGAACTTCTAAAAATGCACCATCACTTCAATGTGGGATGTTGGAGTTTGAATGATTCATAAATATTTGAGTACTTCAAAAGACTACTATACGCAAAATTTGAACATCGCGTCATCATGACTCATTGGCTATCGCTTTTTTGCAGATTTTCAAGAAAGGACTAGATAACGTGGAAATGTTCAAATCCAGAGGTACTGGAGTGGCTCCCTGGATACTATTTGCTCTGCCAGATGTTTTCCAGACATGTGATTCGCGAGCAGTTTCCAAAATGGATGATTTGACGCCACAAGCGTCCATAGCCTTGGAACTAATGGTTCTCCTGGCTCAACCACAACCTAACTGGGCTCTTCTATTGAAGGTTCTGTAGCAAATCCATTCAATACCACCCTTGTTATTGACGTTGTCGATGAAGAATAACAGATCATACAACTGAATACGCCATTTCTTGTAGTGAGACGATATGAAAAGAAGAAACCGGAATCGGAAAAGTTGCAAAGAAAACGCAAACTAAGAAGCATGCATTGATTCATCTAATGTAGAATACAGTGAGGTTGATGATGATATGGCAACTTGCGTTGGCAAACTTTTTCTGAATCCGTATTAGGTATCACAGATTATTTTATTTTTGGTGAGGTTACCTACTCAAGCATTGTTGATATCCGGTTTTGAAATGAACACTTTGATGCAGGTTCTCTGCATGAAGAACTGACTCGTTCTGCATGTCATCGTCTGCTCCAATTCGGCCAACCTTTCTCAGCCCGACAGTAAAGTTGTCTGGAGTCCAACTTTCCACTTTCCTGATAGATATTGTCTGAGGAATATACAGGAATTCTTATATATAGATCATGTGTTATATGGGACTCTACTGAGGCATAATTGATTTCAACTGCTTCAATATCGAAGATTATGTCTCTCAATATTCGGAATTTATGAATGATGTATTGCTTTTTTTCTACTCCATAGTCAATGTATCTGCCCCATTTCAGCTGTTGATCGGTAATCTCATCTAAATATGTGTATTCCTTACAAGAGTTCATTGAAATACCAGAGCTACTATTCAGTTTATCAATGTTTATCTTAATTTCCATAGATGAGTAAGTAGAAGTTTCTTAAATAACTTATAGTAGTTTATTTTTCATAAATTTTTCTGATTATATCAAGATCTTGATCTACCATATATTACAAACTTGTCCAGTCTCGTCCAGTAAAGCTGTGTCATTAGCATAATCTGGGACATAATCATACAATAGATTAGAATTCTAGACAGTCCATTCAATATGTTGCTGGTCATATTATTATTAATTTTGACAGCTTGATTTCTATCATGATGTACTGTGTCAAACGCCAATGAAAGATCATAAAAACTTATAGAGCATGCATTGATCCGTCTGATGTAAAATACATTTGTGAAGTTAAAGAGTATACTGCATCTTGCGTTGACAAATCTATTTCAAATACGTACTGAGTATTAGAGATTATCTCATTTTTTGTGAGATACCTACAGGGAAAGTCTATGTATTGTTAGCGAAGAAGTTCAAATCACCCCGTGAATGAATAGAACGTCTGGGAATCACAAGATGGCGATTCGTCGGTTTCGTCATCATCATGTGACTGAAGCAGGTTCTTATCCATCAGCATCAGAACGAGTCGATCATTGATGTTGTCTATGCTAATATCAAAAAGAGGAAAAATCTGTTTGTTGTTTATTGTTTGTATTGAATAGGCTCCGAGACTACTGGACCGATTTGAAAAAATCTTTCACCATTGGAAGCCTACATTATCGAAAAAATGCTTCATTCCTTCACGCGGAAACGGGTACTAGGACAACGGTCAGTGGGAATTATCTGTTGAATTGATCGTGGACTGTAAAATGTTGTTGTCGTTTGATTGGCAGAAAATAACGTGACTTACTCAACTTTAGTTTCTTCGGTGTCGCTCCACAGGTAGGATCTTCTTGTTATCACGAATTTTGTCACTTATTGCATTTTGAGAGGTTCTATTGAAGCACCTTTATTGTATTATACAGGGTGTGCGAAAACTGTGCATCTAACGGACAAAGTCCAAGGGTTCAAAAATGTTGCAAATAAAACGGAGAATTTAAAAATATTTTTTAATACAAGAAAAACCAGTGGCGTACCATTTTTCTTTATAAAAGTATTCAGCGGAAAACCCGCACACACGCCACTGGAGAACATAAAAATGTTAAAAGTATGTTGGTAAATGGCTCTGGATACACAGACCCTGCATACCAATCTTTGGACAAATATCTACAGGGGTATTTAAGTTATCGAAAAAAAATCATTTTTTTGTTAAAACTTTACCACCCTGTAGCTCAAAATCTAAAAGGTTTAGGACCTATGTTTATAGGAACTTTTTTGCGAAATTTTGTCCAAAGAACACGTTTTTGTCGCAATATATAAAAAACACCCTGTATATATATGCCTATATGTTTTTTACTATGTTTCTGCGTTGTGTGTCGCGTAGCGTCTCTTAGTTTTTCGCTCGCGCGATTTAGAACAGTATAGTTATTATTCAAGCATTATTCATCTTCGGTTTTAAGCTAAAAATAATGTGATTGCAGGTCCTCTGCATGAAGAAATGTCTTGTCCTGCAAGCAATCCTCCGCTCCACTTCGGCCAACCTGTCTCGGCCCATGCACCGCCTCCCTCCGCAGGAATCCGACTGCGGCGCCTTCCTGTGCCGCGCCGATGGCTCTTGCAGGGCCGTCGCGACGTCCTCGGCGTCTCTCAACGACGCCAACTTCTACGACTTGGTGGCGTCGGCTTCGGAGGTGGTTTTGTCGGTGGGGAACGAAGAGGATTTGGCGAGGGTGCTGATGCCTGTGGTGGCCGGTGAAGCGGATTGGGCTGGTATTTTCGACAGGAGGAATGTGAGTTGGATTGGCTATGAATGAATGAGGTGAATGATTAAACCCAATTTCATAGATAAAAGCAGATAGACAGTCAATAAACAGGAGGGGATACCCGACTGAGTTCATCGAAGAACTTGTCTCCGGGAGATCTATGAATTTTCACTACCAGTAATGCGTCTGACCTATATACTAATTTCGACAGGAGGAATATGAGTTGAATATGCTATGAATAATGCATGAATTTCATCGACAAAAGCAGACAGTAGATAAGCAGAAAGGGACACCCGACTAAGTTCATTGACGAGCTTGTCTCCGAGAGATCACAGCCTATGAATTTTCACTATCTGTAATGCGTCTGACCTATAATAATTCTGGCCCTTATACTGTAGCCAAATGAAGTTACCTGGGAAGTTACATAAGCCAAAGTGACACTTATTCTATAAATCTAAGTAGATTTCAATGAGAGAGAGTTATCTTGAAAAAAGAAACTCAAATGTATATGAATGATAATGAATCGATAGAAATAGTAAGAAAAATATATATACAGTCTGTCCAAGATAAGGTTGAACAGCATGGGGATCTCGAAAACGGTAGGAGATACGAAGTCGGTTAAATGGGAAAAAAGTTGCGCATCCGGAGGCTCATATCAAAAGCCTTCGAAAATTTTAAAATTTATTTTTAGTTTTTGAGTTATATCGAAAAAAGTGAATTTTTGGAATATCTTTTTTATTTTTTTCTCTCCGTTATTATTAGAGATACAGAAGAACTGAAGATTCTTTTTCGTAGCAACTTTTGATGACGTTCAACGTGGGGATACTGATTTTTTCATGCGACGTTTCGTATCCGTAGAACCATAATCAAGTTTTGTTTTTTATATACGGTCCTGATAATTTTTTCACAGATTCTGAAAGGTTTTTTTATTCTGAATTCAACCATGTATTATACAAGGTGGTTTAGGTGTGATTCGACCTATTTTTAGTCATCATCAATGTTTTTTCGAAATTCCAAAGGAAAAATGCCATCAGTTCCACTTATTTTGAAGGAAAATCAGTCAACACACTGATACCTCATCAACTGGTTTCAATCAACAACTCATTTCATTTTGCGGAAACAAAAATTCCATCCATACAAATTCAGAATATGTCAAGCGCTAAAACCAGGCGATAACGAAAGGCGCAGGACATTCTGTGAGTGGTATACCAGGAAATGTAAAAATTTTGCAGATTTCTCTTGAACAATCATCTGGACTGATGAAAGCATGGTCACTAATCGTGGTACCTTCGATAGAAAAAATATACATTATTGTTCACGAGAAAATGAACATTTATACATTACTGCGAGACACCAACACCGTTTCGGCTTTAATATGTGGGTTGCAATATTTGGTACACGAATTATTGGTCCTTTCATTTGCCATGAAATACAGACTTCCGAACGTTATAGAAATTTGTTTGAGAATCATCTTGAGGAAGCTCTGGATGATTTACCGATTGCGGAAGTTCAGAACTGTTGGTTTCAACAAGATCCGGTACATAATTCCACAGAAGTCCGTGCGTTTTTATCCAGAAAAATGGATTGTACTCATTCTACAGTCCCTTGGCCGGCACGGTCGCCTGATTTGACACAGCTGGATTTTTTCTTATGGGATATATCAAAAACTTTGTACACGCAAATAACTTTTGATGAGGAAGAAGAACTAAGGAACAGTGTCATCAAAGCATTCAATAAAATAACCCCAGAAATGCTTAGTAATGTCTTAGAAGCAACTGTAAGAAGGGGATATCTTTGTTCAGAAAATAATGGTTATCATTTTGAACATTTGTTATGAATGTTTCTGTAGGTATTGTCAAAGTTGAGTTGTTAAAGTAATTCGTGTAAGGATTCATCAACAATTTTAAGCGCTTCATTGAATGATGTAGTGAAATATTTTTTATCCACTTTTCAGTATTGAATAACTGATCCATCAATGTTTGACACTAAATGATCAGGAATAAATGGAACTGATGGCACTTTTCCATTGGAAGTTCGAAAAAACATTGATGATGGATAGAAATAGGTCGAAACACATTAGAATCACCTTGTATAATACATGGTTGAATTCAGAATAAAAAAACCTTTCAGAATCTGTGAAAAAATTATCAGGACCGTATTTAAAACACAAAAGTTGATGATGGTTCTACGGATACGAAACGTCACATACATCGGTATAACCACGTTAAACGTCATCAAAAGTTGCTGTGAAAAAGTATTTCCAGTTTTTCTGTATCTCTAATAATAACGAAAAAAAAATAAAATAGATATTCCAAAAATTCACTTTTTTCGATATAACTAAAAAACTACGTAACTTTTTCCCCATTCAACCGACTTCGTATCTCTTACCGTTCTCGAGATCCCCATGTTGTTCAACCTTATCTTGGACAGACTGTATATATGAGTTTCTATAGGCATTCTTTCTAAATTGGATCAACAACATACTGAAAATACTTTCTATCCTTGAAATAAATTCACTTCTCGAGTTTGTTTCGGAAAAGCCTGTCAGAGTTCACCTTTTTCAGGTCATTTGGTAATTCGTTATACTACATACTATATTTCATTTCGAAGATCATGAAGAAACGATAGGCAATATGATTTCCGTCATTTGAGATCAACTGGTGACCTGCTCGCTAACGTTCCACATATATGGCAGCAATCTATTGAAAAATATGGTAAAACCTTAGCCGTGGCACTTGATATCTCCAAGGCATTCGATCGAGTCTTGCACCACGGACTCCTCGCCAAGTTTCAATCTCATGGCTTGCCTCCCCAGCATTGTTCTCTGTTAGCTATAGTTTTCTCTCTAACAGGTCTCTCCATGTAGTGGTCGACGGAGTTTCATCTAACTCTCTTATCATATATGCTGGTGTTCCGCAAGAATCAATTCTAGCACCAACACTATTTCTACTCCATGTCAACGCTTTGTTGGAAGTAACTTCATGTCTAGTACACAGGTTCGCGGATGATAGTACCCTCCATATCGCCTCCTCTTCCAGGGCCCCGATACCAGCCAGGCAAATCAGAAACGAACGAGGGAGGAATGTTAACAACATAAATAGAGACTTGGCAACAATTCTCGAATTGGGATCCAATAACTGTGTAGATTTCAATGCAAACCAAACACAAGCATGCCTTTTCTCTAGAAAAGCTGATCTCACTGTGCCCAATATCAGCTTGTCAGGAGTAACCATACCTTTGAAGACATCAATTTCGATGCTTGGTATTAGCAATAACCTTTTTTGGGAAAATCACGTGAGATCAATTGCTAAAAGTGCATCCCAAAAACTTTTTTTTCTGTTCCGGCCCAGGAGCTTTCTCACTTTCAGTCAGCTGCTATCTATAAGGCACAGATCCGTCCTATCCTAGAATACTGTTTCCATATTTGGAGTGCAGCACCCAAACATACCCTGAAACTGTTGGATTCTGTCCAAAAAAGGGCAATTCGTCTCGTCGCTCACAAACTCACTCACTTCTCTGGAACACCGTAGAGAAGTACGAGAAGTACAAATATATTGAAATAATACGAATATTTTTATTTTATCGAAACGAGCAGAGAAAATCCCAAAAAATGAAGTAAAATGAATGTACCACCTCCTCGATTACCCTACAGACATTATTGTAATACTGTTGCAATATTATTGAGCAGCAGTACCAATCGGTAATCAATAATCAAAAATCTGAATATCACCAAATCACCTCTGGAGTGCCTCAAGGATCTCATCTGGGGCCACTATTATTCAATATTTATATTAATGATATATCTCAATGTTTTCGATTCTCCAATTTTTCAATGTATGCGGATGATCTGAAAATATACCACTCAATTTCCGATGCTGACGACATAAAACTATTGCAGCAGGATATCAATCGTTTTCATGATCACTTTGAGCTGAATAGTTTATACATTAACTTTGAGAAGTGTTACCACATTTCGTTCGGACGCGGGAAAAGCATTTTGAACCACTCTTATCAAATATCTTCTCGTCCCTCACAAACTGTTACAGAAATTAAGGATTTAGGAATAATATTCGATTCAAAAACGCTTTTCGATAAGCATATATTCTACATTGCTAAAAAAGGTTATAAAATGTTAGGATTCATAATGAGAACTTGTCGTGCATTCAAAAACACACAGACACTCCGTACCCTTTTTATGTCATATGTCGATAGTGTTCTGAGTTATGGTTCATCAATATGGAACCCTGGTTACGATATCTATATAAACAAACTTGAACGGATACAGAATATATTCATTGATTACGTCAATAAAAAATGCTTTCCATCCAACCCCAGCAACCGTAACTATGTTCGAAATGAGCTGAACTTATTATCACTAGCGCATAGAAGGAACATTTCAGACGTGAAATTTCTTTATAAAATCATAAATAATTTAGTTGCTTCGCCTGCTATCCTCAGTAATATTTACCTTACAGCTCCTAATTATATCACAAGGAATCATCACATTTTTTGTTACGAACAATCTCAAACAAATTATTTTTTGAACTCTTCAATGCATAGATGCGAAATATTATACAACGCTCTGTCGAATTCTATCGATATTGATATTTTCTCTTACTCACATTCCAAATGTTCTTACATTTCGAAAAAACATTTCCTGGCTTCACCTACTTGATTTTGATATATTTTAACGTTTTAATATGTACTGAATAAAATAATTTCACCCTTGTTTGTATCAACACACTACAATCACTACATGTTGTACCTATACAATTATTGATTTTCATCAACTTTGTAATTGATATTCGATTTGTTTAGTTTTAATATATCTGTATGATGAGATATGACATATCTGTGAATACTGCTTTTGGGTTAGTCCCGTTTGTATTCCTATTCGTAAATAAATAAATAAATAAATAAATAAATATCACTTTGTTCAGTGGAATTGTTTTCATGACCTGCAGGTTTGGAACCAGATCCGCCCGCCGTGGTACGAAGCTGTCCTGAACCTCGCCGCCCCCCTGATACCGACAACCGCCGACGCGGTCGTCAACGCAGTCCTAACTGGTGCCACCATGTACCAGGCCATGTCGCTGGTGCTGGCCTGCTTCGGCCACTTCTGGGCCGGCGTCCATCCCAATCTGGCTACCGTCGCGACGCTCGTCCAAGAGCGGTTGCGGACAGACGTCGTGCCGCTGAACGGTTCGTGTTTGCTGCAGGTTATGGTCGGGGCGTTGTACGGGTATTTGTTGAGGAGGTCCGAGGAGGTTAGGAAGGAGGTGAAGTTTCAGGATGAAGGGCAGTCTGTGGCGAGAGACAGAAGGCAATTGAGGTGAATTTTATTCAAATACATAAATGCAAAGCTCAAAGTGATTAGTCCTACAAGTTCATAAATGAACAAGATAACGAGAGAAAAACAACTTCTTCCCTGACTTATATGCCACACAGAACATTGAATTACATCCTCATAGGAGTTAGCTTAGAACGGTATTTTTCGGAAAATGTTCATCAAAAAATTAGAAACTCGGTATAGTTGAACATAGACTTGAACGCCCTTCAAAATTATATGCATCTTGACCTCCGTTTTTATATTAGGTTCTGAGGGTAAAATCTACTCCGCCTAGGGGGTTGAACTAAGACGGCAAAAATGTGCATTCTTAGTGTCTTCGTCAGAAATAAAATTGAGGTGATTAACTAGAGTTCCGTTGGAAAGAGAATTGAACGTTCAAAATGATATGCCACTTGACCCCCCTTCCCATTCGAGGTTCTGAGGATAATATCTATACCCCTCCTAGGGGGTTGAACCAAGAGGGCTAAAACTAATCATTTCAAGGTGTTCCCCTTGAAAATAGAATCGATCTGTCTTTTCGAATTCTCATGATATTCACTGCAAGGAAGATATTGAGGGTGAGAAGTTTTCAAATGTCACCCTGTATGGACGAATAAGGTCGAAATTTGTTTTGGAGTGTTTCTCTCTTCTTACTGTAGGTGGCGTTCGTTGCAGTTTCCGAACACTTCGTGGGTATTGAATACAGGAATGTGTTTACGTTGGGTCAGGTTCGCACCAGATGGCGGTTATGGATGCCATCTAGGAACATTCCTGCACTGATAAGAGCCAAAGCTCGAAACCGGTATGTAAGTAGTGGTCAAGTGTTCCTGGATAATTTAAGCACAATTGATCATTTTGGGAAAGGAACACATGTGATCTTATTCGTCTATTCAAATTGATGCATAGATTTCGAAAGGCTGTAAGTAAATGTACTGCAGGGCTTATAGCCAGTAAATTAGTTTTGTTTTCTGTCATTATCTTCCAATTTCGTTCATTATTCATGAGAATTTGTGGTAATGACTTTGAGCTTTGGATACTCATTCCACTGTGGCATTTTGGTATGTTTTGTAATCGAAATCATAGTGATTCGATCACTGGCGAAAAATCCAACTCAGTTGGCAGGTTGAGGAAATTCAAATCACCAGATCTAATGTGATCTATGAAAAGAGTTCTTTGAACACACATTTAGTGCAAAAACATGATCATTTTGCAATCTGGTTGCAATCGCTAGCCCATCCTAAATAGATTGACAGTGAAAACAAATTTTTAATAGAAAGCTTTTATCTATACGCATTCAATCCACTCTCGCAGATTGTCCTCAAACGTGAAATTCTGCATTGCTGTAAAAATGTACATCATTATTATTCATGACTCAGCACACAGCACATTTGATTCTTGAACACTTCACTATTGAAAAACAAGTTTTCATCTAAGTAAACCTTAGCGGCAATGGCAAATGGCGGCGCAGCTGAACTGAAGACTACACTTTCATTGAAATGATATGTCTGTACGAAATTTATTCACATATACAAACTATGGAAAAGAAAAAACATCCCTTTCTCCGATTGTCTACCGGATTTCTGTCATACCTCCTTCATAAGTCAGACGGCTTGTCGATTTTTTCAAGGTTGAATTCGGTGACTTTCAGATGACATTGAATGCAAATGCAAATAGCAATCAGAATACCTAAAAGTTGCTAGGTTATTCGATTCCAAGAAACGACCAGTTGGTATGTACATTCATACATACCATCGAAGTACATATACTCACTCACTTACCTCATTGAAATGCAATGAATGAACAGTAGTATAGGTACTTGGTACATATTAACTGGCCATCGACTCTACAAAAGGTCCTTCAGCTCATTCGTTATCTGTGTAGGCTTTGTTACTAACTCCATGCGCAACTTCAGGAGCAGCACTGTCAATTAGAACGAAACAGCGAATCGTGTGGAATCATTTACGGAATCAAAAGTAATGACCCGTTCTATCTATAAAAATTCTTTGTTCATCCGAAGATGAGAACCTCTCAACCTTTCGATTTTCTGATTACTATTCGATTGCTCCAATCACTGCGCTATTTCGTCGTCCTCAAGAATTTTTAATTGAAACTGGAATATAATCATGCTTTATTGGCATGGTGCCGACTATAATCTGGTTAAACGATTTCAATATAACTTATAATGGGTTGACGATTGTATGACGTAGATAGAAATATAAAACGGATTGATACTATTGGCCCAGTGCCAGCAGAATTATAGGCAAACGATTACAATATGCCATAGAATGGGCCGACGTTTGACCACTGCAGCTTGGCCATGGCCAGCTATCTGTTGATCTATCGAAAGCCCGAAATCTTCTTCCGTCAATGCACTATCAGACGAATTTTGCTTGGTCTCAAAACGAATAAGGCTAACGGTCCTGATGGAAATCCACCCATTATTCTCAAAAAAGTGTGCACCAGAATTAACACCGATTCTCTGCAAGTTGTTTACCGTCTCGTACAGGTCGAGTATTTTTCCATCATGCTGAAAGACAGCTAGAGTCCAACCAATCCCCAAAATAGGGAACAAGAACCTGCCCAAAAACTACAGGCCCATTGCCCTGTTATCAGTTATCTCATAAGTGATGGAGAAAGTTATCAATATTGTGCTTATCAAATATCTGGAGAGCTTACGAATCATCAATGATAGACAATACGGCTTTCGCCACCAAAGATCTACTGAAGATCTACTTGCCTACGTCACCCATTCATGGCAAGCTTCATATCGAAAGCTTTCGACCGTGTTTGGCACGAAGGACTCCTCCACAAACGATCATCATACGGCTTACTACGTCAGCTATGCCATCCCTTATAGAGTTTTCTTTCAGGCAGATCGCTTCACGTGGTGGTGGACGGTGTATCGTCTGATACCATTGGCATCAATTCCGGCGTTCCACAAGGATCAATTTTGGCACCAACATTATTCCTTCTTCATATCAATGATCTGTTGGGAGTAACAACTTGCTCCATCCACAGCTTTGCAGATGATAGTACCCTCCATACTGTGTTCTCTTCCAGAATTCCCATTTCTTCCCAAGAAACTAAGAACTCACGGCGCAGGCAGGTCGATGCTGTCAACGGAGACCTTGCTGAAATCACAGCCTATGGAACCAACAACCTAGTTTAATTCAACGCCACCAAAACTCAAGCCTGTATTTTCTCTAGAAAGGCGGAACTCAGTATGCCTGATATTGTAATGTCTGGCACCACCATCCCCACCAAGCCCACCATATCTATGCTCGGTATTTCCATCAGCAAAACTCTTTTATGGGATAATCATGTCAGATCCATCGCAAAAGCTGCTTCACAAAAACTCGGATTCTCATTCCGTGCGAAAAGCTATATTACACCTCAACAGCTTCTTATGATCTACAAAGCGCAGATACGGCATGTTCTAGAATACTGTTCCCACATATGGGGTTCAGCACCAAAACATACGCTGATGCTCTTAGATTCCATCCAGAGAAGAGTGATTTGCCTGGTGAGTGACGCCATACTCACTCACTCTTTGACATCATTGGAACACCGTAGAAAGGTCGACGACCTTTTACTTTTCTATCGATACTTCCACGGGAAATGTTCTTCGGAAATCACTGCTATCATCCCTTCACTAGCTATACCAGTCAGACGAACTAGACAAGCCCACTCAGTACATCCTAGCGTTGTCAACCTCGAAAGATGTCGAACAGCACTTCATCAAAACTCATTCATCCATAGAACGGCTAGGTTCTGGAATTCATTGCCTGAGGAAGTATTCCCAACAACATATAATCTTCAGAAGTTTTAAATAAATTCCAATACCTACCTGCTGTCCCTATCCTCCCTAGGAACGCACGATGTTCTTTGAACATCATAGGGATTTCCTTTGGTGCGCTCCAAGCGATAAAAAAAATCATGTACTGAGCCAGAAGGCAGCAAAGAGATTTGATGTTTGCTGGGGGTTACAACCTCTTTCCAAGTCATGCTGCGAGGTGGTTATCTTGAAATGAAAGCCACGTATGAACTAGAAGTCACTATTTATTTCCAAAATACATCTTTGAGACGGTATTTTGACTATGTGGATCAACTCCATTATTTTTATCGCAGTCGTCCCGAAGACGTGTCTCTGGCAGTGGCCGAATGTCTGTGCAGCATCGACGAAGACAACAAACACACCGATCAGATCGACGAGTTTCTCGAAATTGTTTCGAAATCACAGAGGAGAGAAAAAGGCAGGGATGGCCAAGATGGCGGGTCCTCGAGGGTGGAGTCCGATCAGAAGATGTGCGAGGTGCTCGCCAGCGACATTCTCATGTCGAACACAGGGAAAAGGAGCTTGAAGGTTGGGTATTTCGAGTGTTCTAGATTTTTCGTTACATATTACATATCTATGATTTTCTTTATCGAACTTGCATATGACCTGTATATAATTTTTCGTTCCGAAAAGCACATTTCAAAACATCGCTCAATTCAATTAGGAATCACAAGGGTCTTTTAGGTTCGAATATAATGTGTGACTTTGAAATATAATTCAGAAGTGTAGCTCAATCGTGTCTTGATCGTCTTCTTCCATTTATAATAGACTGAGAGCCAGCGATTGGTAGACATTCCATATTGATGGTAGGCATTCTATTTCAACTATTGCTGCAAAATTCGAATAAAATATCAGTGGTTCTGTCAGGAGATCTGCCATTTTACGTTTTGCAATATTCGTTTTCCTAATGGGTTCATTATAATAGTACCCTAATAACACGAGAACATCCTATGGACATCCTAGGGTCGCCCTCATTCAGTAGGAGGATGTCCCTGGAACAGCTTCTGTCGAGACACGGGCCGTACTAGGGACTGTCTATGGAAGTCCCTTGGCTTCCAAAAACGACCTACCAGGGACGTCCCTTCAGTACGTCCTAAGGCATATACCAGGTACTACCTACATCATCCCATATACATTCCATTAACACAAAAGTGAATCCCAGGGACATCTCTTGTAAGTTCCAGAGACTTTTTGCAGAAATATGTGCAGTGATGATTATCTCATATTATGGCCCAATCATGCTAATTCAGATGTCATAAGAAAATGAAACAAGTGGAACATACAAACCTAATTGTGCTAACTGAACCATATCGCTATGATATGAAAAATATTAATGACTTTATATACACCAACAATTGTGCAATGATAAGAGAAACTTATTCTCTAAACAAATATAACATGATATTTGAATGCAACAATATATTGAGAAGAAATAACTATATGAGAGATGGTTTCAGCATTACAAACATAGGAAAATGGTTCTTATGTAAAAAACTTATTGACTACCTAAAAAATCTAGCCTATGCTGTTCCAAGTAAAAGGAAACCGAACACAAGAAACATGGACAATGCACCCCCTACGATGCTAAGAGATGAAAACACGGTAGTGGATTTCTTCAATACTAAAGATCTACCTAGCGAAGAAGACACTGACGATCTATATCATCAACCGTCTCAAGATATATCGCTACTTCAGGAGTTGAATAACATTGACAATAGGAATGAACTTTCGGAATCAAATTTTTTATACCCGCGACTCTCCCAAGTTGCTCCAAAAATGTAACAAATACCACTGAGAAGAGGGAGGCAATAGTCACTAGTAAGCAGATGAACATCCTTCACGTAAATATACGTAGTATATGTAATAAAATAGATGAGATAGAGTTGATTAGCAAGGTACATGATATTGCTGTCTTATGTTTAACTGAGCATTGGCTCTCAAATTCTAATATCGAATGTTTCACACTAGAGGGTTATAACCTAGCAAATTATTTTGCACGCAAAAACCCCATTCATGGTGGCAGCTGTATTTATGTTGAAGATCATGTAAAATTCAAAGCTATCAAATTGTTTTCTGAATTATCGATGGAATTGCATTGTGAAATGTGTGGCATATCATTAATTGTTGATGAAAAAATTCGGATATTACTAATATGCATTTATAGACCCCCAGATGGAGATGACAGTATATTCCTTGAAAATCTGAATTCGGCCCTGCATAGCTTATTTGGTCAGTACGAGAACATTGTTATCTGTGGGGACCTAAACATAAATTCACAGGATGACTCATTAAAAACTAGATCTTTACTTGATTTATTTGACTCTTATGGTTTACATACGACCACTAATGAACTAACACGTATTGTGAAAAATAATGATGGCTTGACAACTTCTAGTGCAATTGATTATGTTGTCACTGACATCTGCCCTGATGCTTATACAGTTAACTTATTTAATCCATTATTAGCTGATCATCTTGCTCACATTTTTACCTATCACTCACACAGTCTGCAGGTACTTGAGGATTGCGAGAACGTAAATTCACTATACAAACGAATAAAAAAAGCTGAAAACGTAAATGAACTGAACAGGCTGTTGATCAAAGCAGATTGGAATTTCATTACTGAACTGTCTGAACAAAATGCATTTAGTGTTTTTCTTGAAGACATGCAATGGTACTACAATACTGCTTTTCCAGTAATATGTACCAATGTCAATAAAAATGCACCTAGTAAAAGAAATAATCTTTGGATAACTAGTGAAATTATTCATGAGGGAAAATCAATAAGGCATATGTTTTGGCAATGGAAGACTGGAGTAAATGTGGATTTTGATATTTATAAGAATAGGCTCAAGGAACATAAAAGAAACATTCGGATAACAAAGCAAAAGTACTTTAATAATAAAATTAACAGGTCTGAAAATCGTTCTAGGGAGACGTGGAAAATAGTGAACTCTAAGCTAAATAAAGATAAAAAGCATGAATCAATTATTATTCTTGAAGCTGCAGGCAAAAAAATCATTAGTCAAACTGAGGTGGCAAATCATTTTGCCTCTCATTTCTCCAAAGTGGTACCAGAAAATATATCAAACCATTTTGGCCAGAACTTATGCTTACCTCCTACTATTGCTGTAAGTAGTCAGGTCTCAATATTTTTCCCTAAAATAACTGAAGCAGAATTATTAGACGCCTTACATAGTCTTGTAAATAAAAAATCAGCTGGGGCAGATGGACTTACTGTGAGTATTGTGAAGAGTATTATTCCCAATATAATCCAACCATTACTTTATCTGATAAATTCGTCAATTGCCAATGGATTTTTTCCTGATGAATTGAAAATTGCAACTGTAATACCAGTTTACAAAAGAGGATCTGAGAACGATATTGAGAACTATCGGCAGATATCATTACTGAGTGTAATTTCCAAACTATTTGAAAAATGTCTTGCCACAAGGATCATGTCCTATCTAGAGAAATATGATTTGCTAACTAATCAACAGCATGGCATCAGAAGTAGCCGATCAGTTGAAAGTGCATCGGTTATGCTATTCAATAATATATACTCTGAGGTTGATAAAGGTAAGTATGTAGTGTCCATAATGCTTGATTTATCCAAAGCCTTTGACAGTGTTGACAAAAATATTCTCTTACTCAAGCTTGAACATATGGGTATAAGAGGGTTCATACTAGGTTGCTTAAAATCCTACATGGAAAATAGAAAATTATCTGTTAAGTATAATCAGTACTCTTCAGAACTATACGACATAATTCTTGGGGTACCGCAAGGGTCAGTACTTGGACCACTTTTGTTCACAATTTTCATAAATGATCTTCCTCGTTATGTAAGCAGAGGATATACCATCATATTTGCTGATGACACAACTATCACTATCACGGCTTCGAATATTGAAGAACTTCAAGAGAGTATCAAATTAGTATTAGATGAAGTATCATCCTGGTGTGATAGAAATAAACTCATCCTGAATAAAAGTAAGACAGAAATTTCAGTCTGAGAAGAAATGTGATTTTGGAAGATATTGTTCTGTGTGATTATACAAAATTTTTAGGAACATTCATAGACAGATATCTCTATCTTGGAATATTCACATTGACCATATCTGTAATAAAATGAAGAAAGCTTTTTTTGCACTCCTACAACTTCGCAGCATTTTAAGTGAGTCGGGTCTTGTATCTGTATATTATGCATTGGCATATTCACATTTATCTCAAAATGTCCAGATTTGGGGAAAATCTAAAGATGTTCAAAGAATTTTCATCATCCAAAAGAGGATTGTAAGGCTCATGTTTAATTCAAATTACAGGTCTACATGTAGGCCCACTTTCATTGACAAAAAGATCCTAACCATGCCCTGCATCTATATCTATAAGTGCTTGTTATACGCAAAGAATCATCTGAATGAACTTCATCAACTTGGAGAGAACCACACATACAATACTAGACATAGGCATATTCTAGCAATACCAAAGCATAAGACAGCAACGTTCAAAGATAGTTTGAATTACAATTGTATAATTTTGTATAATAGACTTCCTGAAAATATTAAAACTTTGAATTGTATCACTTTCAAGAAGGCAATCCGGGAAACACTTCTGAAAAATGCTTTTTACAGTGTGCAGGAGTTTATCGATAGTACCATTGATGTATAAAATAGTAAATTCCAGTAGTATTTTATACTTTTTCATGTTTGTTTGTTTGAAAATGTGTCATTGTTATATACAAATTGATTCGTATTGCTATCTGCTTCGATCATTTTAATAATTTTTAATATCATGTTATTACCAGATACTGACTAAACAGTAATGTCATTACTGTTACTCCCTAAGATGTATATATACCAATCTGACTTGCCGCATGTACATGAACATGTACCTCAAAATGGCTGATAAAGTATTTCTATTTCTATTTCTATTTCTATTTCTATTTCTATTTCTATTTCTATTTCTATTTCTATTTCTATTTCTATTTCTATTTCTATTTCTATTTCTATTTCTATTTCTATTTCTATTTCTATTTCTATTTCTATTTCTATTTCTATTTCTATTTCTATTTCTATTTCTATTTCTATTTCTATTTCTATTTCTATTTCTATTTCTATTTCTATTTCTATTTCTATTTCTATTTCTATTTCTATTTCTATTTCTATTTCTATTTCTATTTCTATTTCTATTTCTATTTCTATTTCTATTTCTATTTCTATTTCTATTTCTATTTCTATTTCTATTTCTATTTCTATTTCTATTTCTATTTCTATTTCTATTTCTATTTCTATTTCTATTTCTATTTCTATTTCTATTTCTATTTCTATTTCTATTTCTATTTCTATTTCTATTTCTATTTCTATTTCTATTTCTATTTCTATTTCTATTTCTATTTCTATTTCTATTTCTATTTCTATTTCTATTTCTATTTCTATTTCTATTTCTATTTCTATTTCTATTTCTATTTCTATTTCTATTTCTATTTCTATTTCTATTTCTATTTCTATTTCTATTTCTATTTCTATTTCTATTTCTGTTTCTGTTTCTATTTCTATTTCTATTTCTATTTCTATTTCTATTTCTATTTCTATTTCTATTTCTATTTCTATTTCTATTTCTATTTCTATTTCTATTTCTATTTCTATTTCTATTTCTATTTCTATTTCTATTTCTATTTCTATTTCTATTTCTATTTCTATTTCTATTTCTATTTCTATTTCTATTTCTATTTCTATTTCTATTTCTATTTCTATTTCTATTTCTATTTCTATTTCTATTTCTATTTCTATTTCTATTTCTATTTCTATTTCTATTTCTATTTCTATTTCTATTTCTATTTCTATTTCTATTTCTATTTCTATTTCTATTTCTATTTCTATTTCTATTTCTATTTCTATTTCTATTTCTATTTCTATTTCTATTTCTATTTCTATTTCTATTTCTATTTCTATTTCTATTTCTATTTCTATTTCTATTTCTATTTCTATTTCTATTTCTATTTCTATTTCTATTTCTATTTCTATTTCTATTTCTATTTCTATTTCTATTTCTATTTCTATTTCTATTTCTATTTCTATTTCTATTTCTATTTCTATTTCTATTTCTATTTCTATTTCTATTTCTATTTCTATTTCTATTTCTATTTCTATTTCTATTTCTATTTCTATTTCTATTTCTATTTCTATTTCTATTTCTATTTCTATTTCTATTTCTATTTCTATTTCTATTTCTATTTCTATTGATATGAAGAACGTTCCTGGGACCAACATAAGAAATTCTCAAGGAACATATACAGCTGGAATCTTTCATGGAAGTTATTGGTGACTTGGTCGTTCGTCCCGTCGGTTGTATATATTCCTCAATTCATATTTGTATTTGAAATTATACAGGGTGTCCGCTAAAAGGAGGTCAATCCATCAACCACATATTCCTTGAACAAAAACAATATGAGTTTCTAAATACCAGTTTTCATTTTAGCCCATCATATTCGATATACAGGGTGTCAAAGTTGGAAATTAAAAACTGTTTTTTTCTAATTACTCGCGTATTTGATAAGATATTAATCTCAAAATTGGTACATTACTTCAGCACAAAGAGTTACATCGTGTGAGGAAAACATAACAGAAAATAACTGTCAAATATTCAAAATACTGAGGGTCAAGTACACACTTACTCCCATATTTTTTTTGTACGTGCGCTAATGACTTCCTATCTATTTTCCTTCAAGTGTTCAATCATTTTTGAGTAATTTGTGTTTCTTGTAAAATTTCGATTAAATCATTAGTTTCGAAAAGTACTGGTTATTGTTTGATGCCTATGCGGCTTACGGTAATCTCATAATGTTCACATACTCCTATTTATTTCGTCGAAATTGGAAGAGGGCGTATCTTTTTACGTACAAAAAGGTAAATATGGAAATACCGGGTGCTCAAAGCGAATGTATTAAAATAATTTTTACAATTTTTCAATTTTTTTTTCTGTGAAAATTATTTTAGTACATTTGCTCTGAGCACCCGGTATCTCCATATTTACCTTTTCGTACTTAAAAAGATACGCCCTCTTCCAATCTCTACGAAATAAATAGGAGTATGTGAACATTATGAGATTACCGTAAGCCGCGAGGCATGAAACAATAACCAGTACTTTTCGAATTATCTTAAAAACAAATAATTTTATCGGAATTTTACAAAAATCTAAAAATTCTCAAAAATGATTGTACACTTGAAGAAAAATAGATAAGAAGTCATTAGCGCACGAACAAGAAAAATATGGGGGTAAGTGTGTACTTGACCCCCAGTATTTTGAAAATTTGACAGTTATTTTCTGTTTTGTCTTCCTCACACGATGTAACTCTCTGTGCTGAAGTAATGTACTAATTTGGAGAATAATATCTTATTAATTACGCGAGTAATTAGAAAAAAAAACAGTTTTTAATTTCCAACTTTGACACCCTGTATATCGAATATGAAGGGCTAAAATGAAAAATGGTATTTAGAAACTCATATTATTTTTGTTCAAGGCATATATGGTTAATGGATTGACCTCCTTTTAGCGGACACCCTGTATAACGAGCGTCGGTGAGATGTAAGCGAAATAAGAGTAAAATGAAAATAAATAATGATCACTTGCTTGTAATTTACTCAGTGGGAAATAACAAAGATACATCTCCATTGAGAATTGTTGTTGGATATCAAATCAGAGCGAAATAGATATCAAGGATATGCAGGGACATAAATGAGACAACTCAGGGATGTACCAGTCGGGACATCCCCTGGAAATACTAAGCAGGGCATCCCAGGGATGTCCCAATGTACCGACAGTACACTCAGGGACATATATGAGGGATGTCCCTAGGATATCCCTGTGTTGTAAGAATGTGAAGATGAATTTAAGTAGCTTTCTGAACACCAAGAGACTCACTGGAATCTCACATTCATTACTGACAATGTAACAAACCGAATCAATCCATTTCAAGTTTCAATTGACATCACAATAATGGAAATTTTGAAATGATAGAGAGGGTCGAGATTTTTCAGACATCTAGATTTGGAAGGGAGTCTCAATTCTTTGGAATCAATCTGTCTAAACTAGGTAAACTGATGTTAGCATTCTATTAACGCAAAGAGCAAGGCTGTACATGATAGAAGCCCTAAAACCAACATCACATACTAGAATTTTATTTGAACGTGCTTGATAAAGTTTCGCATTCTCCAGATCCTTCACCACTTCATCAAATGCAACGACCAATGGTTGTATCACCAATTGGGTCTTGGCAAACAGACGGAAGAGGTAGTTCCAACTAGAGCCATGGTGCTACGTCAACCTTTGCTTCACACCATGTTTCATATCGGCTACAGACCTTTCGATCAGGTAAGTTTCTTCGCATTCTCAGCATTGGCATCCACTGATTGATTTTTGTGGATAATTATTTTGGTAGACAATGAGCTAGCTGACCTCTCCTCCTGACCATTTCCATTTTCAATCGTTGATAACACTTATTTTCTGGCCTCAATCAAGGCAAAGCTAGGTCTCAAATAATTCCTGTTTATTCTGATCTATTCATGACATCCACAATGACCAATATGATTGTTATGTAGTGTTCTAGTATACCTGATGAAGTGCTTCAATCATTTCTTTGCAATTTCAGGTCCTTTCTGGAGAATGGGTCCCGAACTGGTTGAACCTCCTACAAATCCCGATGGGACTGCACCCTGACAGAGTGTGGAAACAGATTTCATCGAGATGGGATTTCAGAAACCCCACCAGTTCTGCTCAGAACGTACACATCATCAACTCTATATCCAACATTCTCAAACAATAATTTATCAGCAAACATCAAACTTCTGGCCGCGTTCTAGGCCAGTGAATGATAGTTCGGCAGATTGCTGGCCATGGCCAAGCTGCACTGGTCAAACGTCGACCCATTGTATGGCATATTGGATTTGTTTGCCTGTAATTCAGCCGGCACTGGTCCAATAGTGTCAATTCGTATTATGTTTTTACTTACGCCATACAATCGTCTACCCATTATATGGCGTATTCAAATTGTTCAACTTCAATCTGACCGGCACCGTGCTAATTGAATAGTACGATTATATTTTAGTTTCAATTAAAAAAAATCAGACCTTCGAAAGGTTGCTTGTTTCAGCAGAGAATATGTTTCTATGAAACGAGTTCTACATTATAATTTTCATAGCCTTATTGGGATGCTTATCCTGGTTCATTTTTCGTATATTTAGTAGTAGAGTAGAACATACGGTATATTATTAATTTCGAACCATATGAGGGTAATATCAACATGAAGGTAACCAGATCATTCGTTGACATGGAACTATGAAAACTGACCAAGGAACGTGCAAGTCTAATAAAATGATGTATATGAATATTGCATGTGAGGGTTCCGAAGTCTGGTCTGGGACTCCTCTTGACTTGATAAGAACTTGTCGTGATGGTCATTATAAGTTGTTATTCACTCATCTGTATGTTCATTGTTGTTTATTCATATTTGTCATCACTACCCTTATGTTCCATGCTTCTATAAATATTGTTATGATGTTATGTTTGAATATAGTATCGTGCTTATTTCAGCTACCCCTGAACTATGAGTGCCTATTCAAATATTAACCCTCGCAAGCTAAGGAAAACCCTTATAGATCGAAATGGAAGAAATACCAAACCCATTTGGTGACATAGTGAGGGTCCTACCGCTATATATACATATATATATTTTTTTTGCAATTGCATACCTCGATGGTCCCAGCACTGGGACAACAACATCATTGCATAGTTGGCAAAACACCCCATTATCGCGTGATACATGATTACCAATGAAATATTTCTATTCAAAAGTTGAACACTGATGAATTCCGTTCACTTATATCATATCAAGGAAGGTGTAGTACCTCAGTTGGAATAAGTTTGATTTGTAAACCAAGTGATAGCGGTGGACCAGGGTTCGAATACCGTGGCGGTCGTCATTTTTCAATTTGTATGTATCGGCAGACATGTACTGGCCCTATTCCCACACAGCACATGTATGTACAATGTACGTACAATGAACGTCCACATCGGATTGTAAGGACGTCCAATGGGAGTGGACGTTTAACTTCCTATGGACGTCCACTGGATGTCCTGATGACACCACTTTGGACGTACTATGGATGTCTTTATTTGGATGTACACTGGATGTTCATATTTGGACTCACAATGGATGTAGATGTCTGAGCATCCATTGGACGTACCAAATTGGAAGTTAAACGTCCAATGAAAGTCCATTGGATGTCTTGAGGACACCACTTCGGACGTACATTGGATGTTCACATGTGGATGCTCATCTTCGGGAATCAAATGATGAAAAATCAGTAGGTAGCAAATATAGCTTATTCTATTGAGATATACAAGGTGATTCTAAAATAGGTGGTCAAACTTTGAGAGTATATAGAGTGAGTGAAATAATTACGAAAACTTCTGTAACATTTTCTTCTGAAGTGCCCCCCAAGAAAGATACAGCCCCTCCAAAGGGGGCCTCGGAGAATGATTTTGTACTATTATCTCCAACACCTTATATGATGAAAATCTAAAATTTGGTTTATCCACTAACTATTCAGTGCCGGTTCGATTGGAGTTGAAATCACCTCAAAATTAAATACAGGGGTGTGTCAAAATAGGGAGGTAGGGGGTAAAAATAACCCCAACTTTTTTGTTCATCGCAATTTCAGTTTTTTGACATGAAATTATGAAATCTCAGGGCTATTTACATAGAAAAGGTGCTCTTGTTGCATCTCGATAAAATGAACTATTAGCGAATAAAATTTATTTTTACAAGATTTCATTTAAATTGCAATTTTGGTATGCACCTGAGTTTATTTATCGATTTAGTTCAAATCTTGCAACTGAATTTTTACCTACTTCTAATCGTCTGATCAACTTGGAATCTGGCATATGACAGTTGACAATGCGTTATGGACTTTTTGATAGAAAAAAATATGGCGGCTCCAATGTGAATGACCGGATTTGTGATTATGGTTGGATTCGATTCAAAATTGTTTTGTAAGGGTTTTTGGGGTTGGAAATTTTGAATTCGTTGTCGGAATTCATGAATTGAAAATAGACGACGAGTTTCGTGATCATGGTCTGATCCTATTGAAAATACTGAAATAAAAAATATTGTTAAAAACGACCTTTTTTTAAATTTTATTCGCTAATAGTTCATTTTATCGAGATGCAACAAGAGCACCTTTTCTATGTAAATAGCCCTGAGATTTCATAATTTCATGTCAAAAAACTGAAATTGCGATGAACAAAAAAGTTGGGGTAATTTTTACCCCCTACCTCCCTATTTTTACACACCCCCGTATTTTATTTTGAGGTGATTTCAACTCCATTCGAACCGGCACTGAATAGTAAGTGGATGGACAAAATTTCAGATTTTCATTATACAAGGTGTTGGAGATAATAACACAAAATCATTCTCCGAGGCCCCCCTTTGAGGGGCTGTATCTTTCTTGGGGGTCACTTCAGAAAAAAATGTTACGGAGGTTTTCGTAACTATTTCACCCACTCTATATGCTCCCAAAGTTTGACCACCTATTTTAGAATCACCTTGTATATTTGGTGTCGATTGCTCATATATAAATATATGGTTGATTCATTTCTTCTTCAGTCCATTTCAAATTCTTGTTTCTGTAGAAACAGAGAAATATTATAAGTTGCTATATAGGTAGAAATCGATTGTCTATACCCCAAATCCTGTTCAGCTTAACTCTGACTGGTGAATTAAGCCTTATTCGATCACATTGCTATATATACTTATAGGTATACTTCTTCTTTCAAACTGCACATTGAGAATAAATAACAACCTGTAGGATGATGAAGCATAAGATTATAACTATATTAGATAATATATGAAGTCACATTCGAACATGCATGCTTTCATACATACTTTGAATGATCTGGTCCTGATTATTCTGCATTCCACAATTCATCACAAACACAACACATCATGTTCACGGTCATTTACCAACTGAAAATGGCATCAGAATCACGGCGCTACTCTACCGACCGATCTGACCTTCTGCCTACCCTCCACGTGGCTGGAACATCAATAGTCTTACGTTAGTCTGAACGATACATTGTACGTTCATTTTACGTCCATAAACCTTCAGATTTGAAATGATTTCATACAGACATTTACTTCGAGCAATTATTTATATACATATAAATTTAATGTTCTTTCTTCATCCATGAACGCTTGAACTCAGAATGACCGTTAAATGGACATCCAATGTTAGTTTAATTTGTATCATCCAATGTACGTCCGTCTCTGTAATGAATGTTGATCAAACGTTCACGACAGTTTTAGTCCTTGAGTTGACATAAAATGGATGTCCAACGGACGTTTATTTTGAAACATACATTGTACATCTATCTTCATAAGTATAATGAATGTACATTCTACGTACATGCGTGTTTGGACATTGAGTGGACGCCCACTGTACATACAATTTGAAGCATCCAATGATTATCCATGTTTGTACGTACATTTGATGTCCATTCAATATCCATGGACGTTTGAAATTGAAATGGACCTGAAATGGACGTCCAATGGATGTCATGTGCTGTTTGGGTTAACGGCCAGAGTCACCTATTGGTACTGGCCCATCATTGTTCAGAGGAATTTCACCGTTCTGGCCAATTTTGGCCAGCAATGGGCCAGCATAAGGCCGACCAAAATTATTTGCTGTGTTCCTTGTGCCACTGAAACATGAGGAGAGGTTGATATAGAACTGATGAATATACTTCTTATTTCAGTGTTATTTGACATCTTCCTACGATATCTTCTTCTATGGTCAATATAAGAATTAGTCGTGAAGTTCAAGATTGAAAGTGAAAGAACGTAGGTTTGCTCAAGTCTTTTGATAACTTATACATCATTTTTTTCGATGGAACAGGCCATATTATTTAAGGCTTTCCGTCAAAATCTTGGATTTTTGACATTGTCATTGACCTTATGTTCTAGTAGCGCTAACTGGTGGAAGTGAGTGAGAATGTTAGCCCTCATTATTGTGATATTTAAAATTCCTGTGGTGTGCCCACTCTTCAATTGTTTCGTCAGAATAGCTCTCGATAGGAACGATTGAATAGGAGTTCGGAACGTGGAGTTCTCATATTCGATGATAGATGGCGTGAACGATGGACACTTTCTCAAAAAAATTCAAAATGTGTTTCGAATCTTATCATGAAGTTGAACTAAACTTTCAATGATGTGCTTTCGTCCTTTCGGGACCTGAAGAGTCTCGTTGATGATGCACGCATTCAATAATGGCTGATAAAAAGGAGCATGTCGAGACGGAAAGAGACAGGGCGCAACAAATAATCCATACGGAAACATCTTGATCATGACGTCACGCGCGAGTAATGTTTTCGGTGTTTTCGGTATAATGGTATTATTACAATATTATTAGTTGAGTGTGTGTATTATGCTTTCATCTTGGACTGACTGCTGCAATGTGTGAGGATTATTTGAAAATCCGAACATTCTATTTAAAGCAAAAATTAAAAGCGAAAGTGGGTAGATAAACTATTATCACAAGATTTTCTTGAATTAGGATTTCCTGTCGTTCATGAATTGACCATTAAAAGTCGACAATATAACGCACCGTTTCCATTTACATAAAAAATTGTGAAAATGGAAATTTGAACTTGAATGCATGTGTCATGATGCCTGTGAATTCGGTTCGAAACTTTTAGCAAGATTCTCCCACGCTTCGCTAGTTTTGCAAAGTAAGCGATATCGAGAGATTCGATTTCAATATAGGAAAGTGATAGCACCATATGACTTTCTATACATCTATCTCATTATCATCTCCCGATTGATAATGATTGTTCGCCCTGTATCATGGAATTCGTCAATATTTCATATGTCATTCAATTGAATAAAGTCACTGCCTTGTTGTTTTGATGGACGATGAACTCGGAAAAGACGGAACTAAGGAAGAAGACAGGGTAACTGTGAGCGAAGCCACTTCAGAAATTCAACTAGAAACACCAGAACCGAACAAGACATTGCCAATAACCAATATCCCAAAGATCCACAAGAACGATAATACCGCCAAAAAGAACGATGGTCAATGCACGGTCAAAGAAATCCTCAACGAAATCCTCGACTGCCAAGTCGTGCGCATATCCACCAACCAGATCCCGGTAATTTTGCACTTATTATGCGATGTTATTTTATCGAATTTTGTTTTGTGTTTTTTACGTATTCTTGTCTGAAAATCATGGATTCAATTATGAAAATGTGAACAAACCACCATTTATCGAAATATTTAACAAAAAAGTTCGAAATTTCCCCTTCTCCGCCTGTCTTGGATACGCATTCAGAACTACACTGCTTGAAGAAATTGATAATGCACCACCAAAAAGTAACCAAAAGTTTAGGAAACATTTTCGTCAAATCTCCTTGTCCAATTAAGAGGTTTTTCGTTTTGAATGATGACAGGTTATTTCCATCTGAACATTGGTGTGCAAAATGTATTGGCAATATTGGCATTAAACCCCTTCTTTATACATATCGGGTGTAGGGTCCCTTGATGGAAATTGACGTTAAAGTCATCTAGCAGGGTACGGACAGATCATAGCTGCATTCTTTTTTAATGATCTAGAGACTTCAGTTTTGTCTACTGGCATCCCTGACACTGCTGTCACCTCAAATCCATGGGCGCTACAGAAAATCATTCTAAATTTTAATCATAGGTATGTACAGGGTATTCACTTGTTGAGGAAGATCATATTGCAAACGAGTTTTGTAATTATGATCCGATTCTATTCAAAATTGGAATATATCTGGGGTTTTTCGGGGTTGGAGATAATAATTGTTGCGTAAAACTTGGAAAATTCAAGATGACAGATCCAATATATAACGAAAGAAATTTCTAATTATGATCTAATTCTATTTAAGATGAATATCTGAGGGTTTTCGGGGTCGAACTTTATGATTAGTCAAGATTGGGAAATTCAAGATAGCGGATCCAATAAAAATCAAAATTGGTATCTGGTTATTTCCGGGGTCGGAGATTATAATTATTTCGTCAGAATTGGGATATTGAAGATGGCAGATCCAATATGGTGGATTGTTTAGTAATGAAGATCCGATTCTATTTAAAACTGGTGTCGTAAAAATTGGGAAATTCAAGATGATGGATCCAATATGGCAAAAGACATTAGTTTATATGATCATTACTCTACCACAAATAGAAAATATGTAGGATATGCAAGAGTGAAAATAGCGTGCCTATAAGTTATACTGCGCATACCTACTTCTTCGTTACTTTCATGAATAAATTATTCGAAAATGACTTTTTATTCAAGGGAGACGAAAAAATGAAGTAAAGTATATTCTTTTCTTTATTTTACTACATATTTTACATATTTATTTTGATCAGCCTACTTTTCGTCCTAGACGAAGTTTTGTACATAGTGTGATATTAGTAACTCCATAAATTCTTCTCCGAGTTGGATTTCCGAATATATGACATGAGTATACCTGCAGTAGTTTAGAAACCCACATCGAGGTTTCCACCATTTCTCAATCATAAGGCTCTGCTCATTCAGCTCATAGAAAAACTACTGCTCAGCTTGAAATCAGAATTCATTCAGTCAATTCAGTCAACCCTGGTATACAGTCTAAGAACAGTCTCTTTTGGTGAAATACATTATAAGCTTTCAGTACAATTTATATGTTCCCTACCTCACAGAGATTATGCTGGAGTAGTAAACTCTAAAACTAGAGGATTATTCATCTATATCTTGTTATCTTGGTATAGTTGAATCAGGAATTCCATATGGAAATTACGTATGATACGCCAGTGACCTCAATATAACCTAAAAAACAACGAATGTCAAAAATCTAGTGTTTATCCCCAGAATTGAGTAAGGATGGAACTATATAACTGTTTCACAAACGCTTTAGAGTGAGAGGAGACGAGGATCTGTCCGTACCCTGTTAAGATGACTTTAACGTCAATTTCCATCAAGGGACCCTAATCGGGTGCAGCAATTACAGCGTGTTTCTTTCATGAAATTTGTAATACCCTGTGAAGTGTAATATATAGGTACTACACTATCAAGTTAGAATTGAAATTACGCATTTCTTTTTTGGATTCATCTCTTCTGTTACTCGAGTACCACCATTTCATAGGGTAACATGATTTTAAGGAAAATTTTAAAATTGAACAACGAAAAAACAAGACAGAATGCAGGTCACAAGTTGAGAAAAAGGGTCAGTAGCGAGTATTTCTGCAGCGGGCACGAATAACCTCTTGGTAGAGACGGCCTATATACCCAAAATAAGAGACCTAATGTCATATTGGTCCAGATCTTTCCAAATTTGAATCCAGTCTCTGCCGTACACGTTGTCCATAATATTCAAGCTACCTCCTTCTTGAAATCTTGTTCCAAGAATGTTCCAGAGATTCTCAATGGGATTCAAATCCGGGGTCAGAGCTGGCCATGCAATGGTAACGATACAGACATCCTCTAGATAATTGATCACCACTTGGGCGACGTGAGGCCTGGTATCTTGCATCAACAAAAATCCTTACAGTATATGTGATTCCAAAATCACCAATATGTATACCTTTCAGCTGTAATGCTTCCATTTATGATCAGATTCATGCGACCAGTCAAAACAATGTCTTCTCAGACCATAATATACAGGGTGTCTCGAAATTAGCCTGCCAAACTTCACCAGCGGCTTCTACGATCAAAAATAGGAAGGATAGTTCCAATGAATATGAGTCGAGAAATGAAAGAGAGGTACGACCACCTGAAAAGGGGCTCCTGAAGATATTGCTTGAATATTTCCGAAACGCCACCTGATGAAATTTATTAAATTTTTTTCCTGAGCAATGGAAGACCTCAATCGTTCAGCCCATTCCTAAAATGGCCACTCCATCTCCTTATTCAGATTTTCGCCCAATAAATCTTTCAACAACTATCTCGAAACTGTTTCAAAAGGTCATATACAAGCAAATTGAAGAATATTTGTGAGGAAATGAGCTTTTGCTTACTACACAGTCCGGCTTCAGAAAAAGTCATAGTACAGCAACAGCCCTAGCTTACATTGTAGACGTTTTGTCAGAGCGTCTGATAAAAATTTTGTTCCGATTCTGGTCCTTGATATTTCCAAGGCATTCGACACTATAAACCACAATCTGCTATGCCAAACTTAAATATTATGGATTTTCTGTCAATGTCGTGAAGTTTATTGAGTCAAATCTGTCTAGCCGAGAGCAAAAGGAAGCGATGAATAGCACGGTTTCATCTTCCAGGATCATAACATCGGGTGTACCCCAAGGGTCTATCTTGGGGCCATTACTTTCCATTATACAAGGTGATTCTAAAATAGGTGGTCAAACTTTGGGAGCATATAGAGTGGGTGAAATGGTTACGAAAACCTCCGTAAATTTTTTTTCTGAAGTGACCCCCAAGAAAGATACAGCCCCTCAAAGGGGGGCATCGGAGAATGATTTTGTATTATTATCTCCAACACCTTGTATAATGAAAATCTGAAATTTTGTTCATCCACTTACTATTCAGTGCCAGTTTGAATGGAGTTAAAATCACCTCAAAATTAAATACAGGGGTGTGTCAAAATAGGGAGGTAGGGGGTAAAAATAACCCCAACTTCTTTGTTCATCGCAATTTCAGATTTTTTACATGAAATTATGAAATCTCAGGGCTATTTACATAGAAAAGGTGCTCTTTTTGCATCTCGATAAAATGAACTATTATAGCGAATAAAATTTATTTTTTCAAGATTTCATTTAAACTGCGATTTTGGCATATATGTACTTAAGTTTAATTATCTAGGTCAAATCTCGCAATTGAATTTTTACCTACTTCTAATCGTCTGATCAACTTAGAATCTGGCAGATGACAGTTGACAATGCGTTATGGCGGCTCCAATGTGGCTGACCAGATTTGTGATTATGGTTCGATTCGATTCAAAATTGGTTGGTATGTGAGGGTTTTTGGAGTTGGAAATTGAGAATTCGTTGTCAGAATTCATGAAATCAAAATAGCCGACGAGTTTTTTTATTATGTACTGATCCTGTTAAAAATAAAATGAAAAATATTATTGAAAACAAGCTTTTATTACTTTAACTATAAAATTGCAATTCAAATGAAATCTTGGAAAAATAAATTTTATTCGCTAATGGTTCATTTTATTGAGATTCAACAAGAGCTCCTCGTCTATGTTAATAGCCCTGAGATTTCATAATGTCATGTAAAAAAACTGAAATTGCGATGAACAAAAAAGTTGGGGTTATTTTTACCCCCTACCTCCCTATTTTGACACACCCCTGTATTTGATTTTGAGGTGATTTTAACTCCATTCGAACCGGCACTGAATAGTTAGTGGATAAACAGAATTTCAGATTTTCATCATACAAGGTGTTGGAGATAATAATACAAAATCATTTTCCGAGGCCCCCCTTTGAGGGGCTGTATCTTTCTTTGGAGGCACTTTAGAAAAAAATGTTACCGAGGTTTTCGTAATTATTTCACTCACTCTATATACTCCCGAAATTTGACCACCTATTTTAGAATCACCTTGTATATACTGTCGACGTTATGAATAGAATACAATGCAGATTTATTTTTGATTTGAGAAAATATTACCATATTTCTGGAAAAAATCAACAATCTGAAAAGGTTGAATATGGCTAATCAACGAACCGCCTAGTATTCTGTATGTATTCATACAGTACAGAGTGGTATGCCCACTTATCTGCATGAGAAGTTAGTTCCCAGAAGAAGCATTTACGATATTTATGTTAAATTTCCTGATAATTTCAATATTCTCCGTCACACAACAGCCATTTTGCAAAAGGGTTTATTTATTGCTGCAGATTTGTATAATAGAATGAGTACAGATATACGGAATTGCAATATATATACATTGAAAAAGAAAGTCAAGATGAAATTGCTAGCGGAACAACAATGGTTCACCCTTTTTGCTTCTATTTTCGTTTTGGCCGCTTCTTGTCAATGTCATACAGGGGGAAATTCTGAAAACTTCTCACCCCCAATATCTCCCTTCCAGTGAATAATATGAGACATCGAAAAGACAGGTGGATTTTATTCTCAAGGACGACACTCAGAATTATAAGTTGAAGTTCTCTTATTTCAACCCCCAAGGAGGGGTAAATGTTATCCTCAGAATCTCGAATGGAAAGGGAGGTCAATTAGCGCATCATTTTGAAGGGCGTTCAATTCTCTTCCCAACGATACCCTAGTTTATCATTTCCTGTTGAGCAGATTCCGAAAAATGCCGTGTCACTCAGAAAACTTTCCCCTCAATATCTCCTTTCCAGTAAATGGTTTGAAAAATCGAGAAGACACATCAATTCAATTTCCAAGGAAGACACTTGAAATGCATATTTCTAGCCCTCTCAGTTCAACCCCCTGGGAGGGGACGATGCCAAAGCACGAACAGGGAAATATGGAGACTATATATAGTACCATCCTGCAAGCGACTTCGGGAATTGAAAGGATTCTGCCGCCTGGTATGTGATGAGAACTCGACCTTCCTGCCGATTGATCGACGAATATCCCATTAGCTCAATTTGCAGAGCGTTGGTCATGTAACCCAGAGGTTGTGAGTTCGACTCTCACACGGAGCGGTGGAGATTTTTCATTTTTCATTGTCACTCGAAATTAGGGCTTTCCATCTCTTCTTCCTTATAATATGTATATTTTTGGTTGAGTAACCGACAGAAATTATGACTGACTCCTGATTATAGATGTGACTGTTGTTTTGAAATATTCCATAAATAATGAATGAGAATTTACATATGGGGTTTGAAACAATATTATGAGTTGAGTTTCTCAGTAAAATAATTTCTAGTATGAATAGTGGTTCGTTCACATTCTCATTATCACATTTGTGTTTTTGAGACAAAAATACGTAGGTAGGGGAACCACCACCTGTATTTCCAAATATCGCGTCCTAACCGTCCTACCGCTACACTCAGCTCATGCATCAAGCATTTTCAGACGCAGTTGCTACTAATTTTCGAAAGCAATTCCTTCATGTTAGTGATTCAAGAAAATGAAATTGAAAGGATACCGCACACTTGATTAGGGAAAGTGGCCCCCTGTCGAATTGGCTGAATTTTTGATATGTTATAGTCCAAGTCATTCCAAACAAAAAGTTCAATGGGCACATCAACTTTTTCTATAGGCTATAGTTTTGGCGCTAGAGGCACTTGAAAACTTTCATTTGTTCTTCATTGTTCTACAACACGGAACGGTAGTCTGGGTAATAATCACTATTCTGCATAATCAAGATCAAAACAGTCATTAATATGAGATACTATTGGAAGTATTGTTCATTTCAGGGATCAATTATACAGTGTGTTCCATATATTATATCTATTAATACTTCAAATTAATGATGGAACTCATAGAAAATATAACAAAGTGGCATATCATTTTGATAGGGTTTTGTCGAATGAGTATTGATATGATTATTATATTGATGCTCAAGGAGTATCGTGGAAAAACTCCTCCTTAGTCAACCAAGCCTCTAGTCGCACATTCAGTATAAATGTAATATGGAGAAAATAATGGGCTATAACTCAATTATATGTTACATTCAACGTACTCATTCAACCTGGTATCGTCGACCCCTTTATAAAGGAAAACCCTTGACTGAACCCTAATTATTCATCTAATAACTCACAGGGTGTTCCATCTGAGAATATGTCAATACGATAAAAGAAATAAGGAGAATGTGCAATGAACATGTATATCAATCTATGCAATCATAGGTTCTTCATTATTATGTCTCTCTGCAGCATTTTTGTCTTCAGAAAAACATCCAACCTAGCAGAAGGTGACATTCTACCAAGATTTTGAAATCTACCACATACTAAACATGACGTATGAGAGGTTCGCAACAAAACTCCAAGTACAGTTGGATCGGGATCTTCTTCATAAAATTGTATCTATGAGAGAATACTCAAATGACAGTTTCGGCAAATCCTGGTCTGTTCAATAAAACGTATTTGAGGCAATTCCAATTCATTCCTTCGATGTTCGGCCTCTGCTTTCTTCGACTATAATATTTTTATACATTGAATTATTTCTCATTCTATTTTATGGCATGAAATACAAGATGGTCGAACAATATTTTCCAGTAGGCAAGGGAATTTTTCGAATGTTCGAACTTTCGCTTTCTTTCTTTCTTAAAATGAACACTCCTTATGTTTTTTGACTATGTGATGTGGAATACGATGTAGGATAGGATTCATAAACTTTTTCTCATACTAGATCCCTGAGACGATTTGTAACCATTTTCGAATTATTGAACTTTGGAAATTGTAAGTAGCTAGAACACACTGTATAATTGACAAAATGTAACAACACCGAACAAAAATACTTCCGATAGTATCTTATATTGATGACTGTTTAGATCTTGATTATGCAGAATAGTGATTATAACAATGAAGAACAAATGAAAGTTTTCAAGTGCCACGTCTAGCGCCAAAACTAGCCTATAGAAAAAGTTGTGCCCATTGACCTCTTTGTTTGGAATGACTTGGACTATAATATATCAAAAATTCAGCCAATTCGACAGGGGGCCACTTTCCCTATTGAAGTGTGCGGTATCCTTTGTTAGTGTTGATCTAGGAAAAATGTTCTCATTTTTTGTACTTCGCTCTTATAGTGAAATGAATATGACAGCTATGTTCGATGGGTAAGGTAGAAATGCACATTGTGAATCTGTTTTTGTTGATTCTAGAATATATGAGACAACTGTTACTTGATTCAAAGTATCAATACGTTCATTTGCCTATGATGGACCACCCCAACCCCAATTGCGTTTTCGTTTATGCCACAACGAATTGCTGGCGTTAACAATCGGTACAAGCAATTTGTTTGCGAATTATGTGTTGGAGTTTATTCTTCATTTCGAGATTTCCATACATTCTTCTCATTCGTATGCATCTAGAGTTGAGAATTTCATACAATGAAAATGTTGATTGATAAAAATATAAAAATATGTAAACTATAAAGGGGCCATCACGGGCATATCTACAGCGTGTCTCATTTCAAACGACCCCCCCTCTATATCTCAGCTATCAGTTGTGCGATCTTTATCAAATTTGTATCGGTGTGAATAATCATCAATATGACCAGTTCTTCAAAGACAAACATCATTTTAGACAGTGCCGTGCATGAATAGGGGTCAGTTTTTTATTAAATCATATTAGGCATTTTTTCACAGGGAAACTGACCTCATAATATTGTTCTTCATGGTTTGAAGCCCACCTATGTGGATTTTCATAGACTGCCTATGAAGGGTTTCAGAAAAACAGGCACATCTAAACAGCATTTTTGCGAACGTAATAACTATTTACTCGGAAACGGTGAGTTCAACATAAAAAAGTATAACTCGTTTTTCCTTCCAAATCATGATTTTCCATCTACCGGAGCCATTGAACGTTCCAAAACTCGTAGTTGATTTGAAGTCACTATTTATTCGAGACTGAAAATGAAAAAAATGAAGCGAATCCTGTTGATTCGGAATTAGGTGATTATTTGCATATAAGGGTTCGAGATCATGAGGAACAATAATATGAGGTTAGATTTCCTGTTAAAAAATGCCTAATATGATTTTATGAAAAATCGACCCCTTCTTATTGAACTAAACGCACGGCACTGTCCAACATGATGTGCATCTCTGTAAAACTGATCATATTGATGGGTATTCATACCACATCAAATTTGGTCGGAATCGCATGATTAATAACTGAGATATAGAGGGGGGGGGCGTTTAAAGTGAGACACGCTGTATATGATCCACCACTCAGGAGATATCAGAAAAATGCATGTGAATGACACTATTCAATTTCTGGTGAGAATTTTGATAGCTTACATTGAAGAACAACCGATAAGGCGTCGATAAGTTACTCAATATCAATAAATAAATTCATTATTAAAGAATGATGAGGCATATTCCTTAGGAGGGACCATCATAGGCACATTTCCCCAAACAAAAAACAATTTTGAAAAAATAACTCATGACAACATGGTATGATAAGTGCAAAAATGCCCAGACCTCAGAAACGAACGACGCCTCCGCAGACAAGACCAGCCAAGTAGCATCGGACATGCTACCCACCAATGACGAATCTGTCCCCTCCAAAGTGGTGACAGTCAAGCAAATCCTGGGCGAAGTCCTGAACTACACCGTGTGCCGGCAAACCGTACCCGCGGAGTTCTCGGAGCCAAGCACCTCGAGCAGGGCGCATGCGTCGAGCACGCATCGTCGGGCGGACTTCCACGTGTTCAGGGCGGGCGTCATCAACTCCTCCCACCTGTTGCACAGCGAGAGCGCCAAGTCGTTCGGCAAGGTGAGATATCCCCAGCAAACACAATTATGTTATATTGACATAATTGTTACATAATTGAAATGTTATGTATAACCCACATCACTGTTAAGGCGAAATGAAGGCCACAAATACTATATGATTATTACGTAACCATTATGTCACTATTTTATGTATATTTTATATAATTTCATTGCCATAAATATAATTTTACGAATATAAAAACCGGACCGGATGACTGTTAGGTTATTTTCGTCCACTTATTCTTATCCAATCTCACACGTTTGTCAGATGCCCATGAATACAGTAATTTACATCTTAGTCTCTTGCCAGTAAAAGACTGTTTGTCGCGTTTAGTGGCAGTGGCTTGTAATGGCACAGGGATATTCACAATTTTGTATCGACTGGTGGATCGACTACTGTATCGACTATCGATGTCATGATCGATATATAATATTCCTTTCAAGTTGCATCCTTGAATCATATCATTTGAATGACTAGCTTGAACGCTGCGCAGAGACGGAATTTGGTTTGCAATATTTTTTTGAGATGGCTCGCAAGTGCTCTGATTGACGAAAACTTGTTGTTTGAACAATTTCCGTTTCATCATGCTTCTTGGTGATTCTTTCTCTTACGAAGAGGTTCCATGTGTTGATGCCAAAATGAGGCCCTTTTTGATCTTGGCTCTCTGTGCGATCAGGTCAGGTGGTGGACACCTATATTTGTGTTAGGCCTTTCCGATAGGAAAGTGAGGAATATTTAATCTCATTTTGTGGATGATATTCGATAGGGTATGTATATTTCAGATATCACGGCCTTATACAGGGGAGCAAGGGGTACAGAAGTGGATGATATGAACTTCATCTTCTTTTGCCCACATGGCATGTTTCTGGGCTAGAATTTTAACACTCAACACTGTTAACTGCATGGATCACTAAAAATCGAATCTTTCATCAACTATGGGCATTTGGAAATCTTGAACTGTTTTCTGTACTACACGGTTTGGGCATCACGTGGACACTTTTTTCGATGGTTGAGGCACCTGAGGGATCTTCGTTGCTTTAAGCCTGAGTTACCAATACACTCGGAGGTGGAGGCAGGACCCTGGTGATTTCTTGTGTATGTTCTTGGGCATCTATAGGACCCGACAGCCCGGCATATATGTCAGAATCCTCGCTGCCAACAGTGCAAGTCCCTAGCAGCCCTACTGGGACGGAAAGCCAGTGATCCTTACTTCTGACAGGAAGTCCAGGGGTGTCCAGACTCCTGGTGTGGTAGATCATCCATCATCCCAAGGATTTTTGTTGCTTCGGAGCCTGAACTCCCAGTGCCTAATCAGATAGTGAGACGTCCTGGTCCAGCTTGGATTGTGGGAAAGGCTTGCCCTGGTAACAGCCTGTGGACCCGTCAGCCAGAGTTCCAGCGCAGCATCCAGTTGCCCTGGGATAAACCAAGTGTCCAGGTCTCCAGGTGGTTGTGACTCCTGTCAACTGTGTGGGGATCCAGTTTTCCTAGCACCTCTAACCCCTAACGCCGACTGAGAGAGGAGTGTCTGCGTTTCATCCGGGTAGTGAGATCTAGTGAACCACAGTTGGAATCTCATGGTACAAAATCCAGAACTTGCAGTTGATGTCAGAATTTTCCATACATATTTTTTCCCTGTCTGAAGACATTCAACATATGCATATTTTTTCCCCTGTCTGAGGACATATAGCATACATATCTTTTCACTGCTTGAGAACATTTTTAAATATCATATTTTTTTCCTGTTTGAGGACATTTTGATAGTGATTTTTTCACTGTCTCATGTCGAGAGATATTTAGGTACTTGTCAACAAAACAGTCTAATATCGGAATTCACATTCAATAGAATTATTGAGTCTGTTAGAGACTCTGTGAACTCAGAGTATAGGCCTATATGAAGGGAAATCTACCCTTGTACTGAGTTATAATCTTAGAACATTATTTACCTCCATTCTCAATACCTATTGTTAGCATGTAAAGATGAATGAATCTGTCAACAGTTACTTCGGCTTATATTTTATATCTTGGATTTTTGTCTCAGTAATTCGCTGCGAAAACTGAGTGACGCTTATTTGTATAAAAAAAGAACTATCTCACGATCTGCTCCGAAACAAACGAGCTGCCGTGCCTATAACGAATAAAAATCTTTTCCTTTTTCAAAACATCGAAAAGAATTGTTATAATGTTTCCGGGGTAATACTGTGACACACATCTATTATTCGGTCCATAAGTTCCTGGGCGACTGTGGCTGCGTTACGTACACCTTAGATTTTATGAACCCCCACAGAAAAAGTCCATAGATGTTATATCAGGTGACCTAGCTGGTCGTTCAATAGGGACACGTCGGCCTATCCATCGTCCTGGAAAATTCTCGTTAAGTTGTTCTCGGACAGGTCTGTAGTGATGCAGGGGCGCACCATCTTGAAAGGTAACATCCATAGTAAACTCATTTGGGTTTACTCCAACTACTTCTTGAATACTGTGATGGATCAGATTTTGAAGCATATTTAAATACAGATGCCAAGTTGAATTTCCTGCCATAAATATTGGACCTATGATATGGTCACCCAAAATACCAGCCCATACGTTGATCTTCTCTGGAGTTTGAGTATGACCCTCTTGAAAAACGTGCGGATTTATGTCTGACCAATAACGCACATTCTATCTATTTACCGTTCCATTCACCACAGAAAACGTACTTTCATCACTAAAACAAATTGAGTTGATGTAATCGCCTCTGTTAACTAATACAGAATGTTCAATTCATATGGGTGAAATTTGTGTTTTTTGAGATATTTTTCCACAGAGATCATGGATATGCCACAATCCATGGCTACCGTTTTCGCTGTTCGTTGCAGATTATCAACAAAAGCTGCCAGAACAGCGATTCGATGTTCTTCTGGAATAAGTTTTCGTACAGATCTTTCTCACATTGTATATAACTCATATTCAATGACGAAATATTCAGATCCCTAACAACACAAGTCCCAGGGACGTCCCTAGTTTCATACTAGGATATCCCAGGGATATCCTTTTCGGGACCAAGTACATACTAGACAAAAAGGACATCCAAGGGATGTCCTACTGCAGGGTGATTCACCATAAATGTCTCCCCCTCTAGCTCACTTATTTTTGAACCGATTTAAAGATTTGAAAAATCATCTGAAATGATTTTTCAGAAATTTTTTTCCAGTTGCATCAGAAAATACAGGGTGCTCGGAACAAACGATCTACAGTGTACTATTCCATTTTTCCAAATGAAACACCCTGTATTTCATTGTATTTTTAGATTCTCCCTGAAGAGCTGATTTCATCAATCTATAACACTTGGGGTCAAGCGGGAATGATTTCAGAGATATAGGGTGTTCAAAATCGAGATTTTTCAACTTTAAAATTTATTTTGTGTCGAAACTATTCATTATTGGTCAAAACGACTTCAATGCCCCTATCTCAACTTTTGATTTACTATCTATTGACATTTCATTGGAGCATATACAGTGTGATACAAGATTCAGAATTCTGATCACCCTGTATCTGTTCCAATTATTAAATGTCAGTAGATAGTGAATAGGAGTTGTGATACGGACACGAAAGCCGTTTTGACCGATAATGAATAGTTTCGTCACAGAAAAATCCTAAAGTTGAAAAATCTCGATTTTGAACACCCTATATCTCTGTAATCATTTTCGCTAGACCCCAAGTGTGATGCATTGATGAAATCTGCTCTTCAGGAAGAATTTAAAAATACAATGAAAAATAGGGTGTTCCATTTGAAAAAATCAAATAGTACCCTGTAGATCGTTTGTTCCGAGCACCTTGTATTTTCTGATGTAGAGGAAAAAAACTCTATCGGAAATCATTTTAGATGATATTTAAAATCTTGCAATCGGGTCAAAAATAACAGAGCTAGAGGGGAGGGACATTTATGGCGAATCACCCTGTACGTCCCTGGGATGTACCCATCAGTACACCAAGATATCCCTAGAACGCCCCAAGGATATTCCAGGGACATCCTTTTGACAGAAGAAAATAAAATGTAAGTCGAGTAGGGATTGAACTCGCGAACTTCAGCTTATCAGGAACGCACCTTACTCTATCATTGGCTAATATGCTTTCTGAAGATTTATGTACTAAACAGATTTATAAACAGTACAAAACTAAAACCTCAATGAATACAACTTCGTTAGAATTTCATGTATAATTATTATCATTCTTGGGTGTTTAAAAATGAGAGGCATTATGTGTTTACGATTTCTGTTTGCGAAAAATGGTCATTTGGTCGATGGTCAATTATTTTCCGGAAGAAAAACGAACATTTTCGAAAAAATGCAACTCAATATTTTGATGAAATTCAATGACTCTGATGTGAATGGATATCAGATATTCCAGGGACACGAATAGAATAACCTAGGGATGTACCGGGCGGGATATCCACTGGACAACCACTGGATGCCTCAATCATGTCCTTGTACCATGAGGACATTCCAGTGTTGTTAGAGATATTAATGATTTGAGGAGCGATCAGCCAGAACCAGATTGATCCATTTTATAAAGTTTTGAGATAATGGCAAAAACCTTCCATTATATCGTAACTTTAACCAAGAAAGTAAATGGTGTAACTGGAATATGATTATATTGACCTCGTAAATGCTGTTTTCGTTTTATTTTTGGATGATTAACATAGCGTGATTATTGCAAATTACAATATGGATTTATCTGTTTTTGCTTGAGATAACTAATTTTATGATGTGAAAAGTGTTTATTTCGACATAAATATTTTTGATACCAAATCTTTCACGTTAATCAGGAATTTTTGAATTTTAAATATTTCCATTTTTTATTTATCCCTTTTTGCGGTGCGAAACAGACTGCAATGTCATTTGATTTTTGATAATTATCTGGATTTGCTTGAATTGCTCGACTTTGATGTTATGGTTGAAACTGATTGCGCCATCGGATTTATCTCATCAAAAGAAATAGGAATCGATCATGAAATCATTTCTGCCCAAGAGTGGATTCATTTGGTTTTGGATGATCGCTCCTCATTTGATAAATGCATGGATGAAATACATGAATGAATTTTCCATTCTATTCCAAGGTGCTGCCCTCGTATTCGTCAGTGCTGCGCATGGGCCCCGCGCATAAACTCTCCGTCTCCTCCGATTCCTTCCCAGTACGACGCCCGCCGCCGTCGTACGCCGAAGTAGAAGGCCTGTTCGAGGCGGCGTCGCCGAGCGCCGGGTCGTCGGAGTCGGCCATCTTGGGACCGGATCCGGTGTACGTGGTGTGTCCGGTCTGCAGGACGGTCGTCGTGACGGACGTCGAGAGGGAAAGGTCGAGCGCGACGCACCTGTTGGCCTTGGTGCTGTGTTTGTTCTTCTGCTGGCCTTGTTGTTTGCTACCGTACTGTATGCACTCGTGCAGTTATTCGTATCATTCGTGTCCGAATTGTAGGCATTATTTCGGCATGTACAGGCCGTTTTAGAATAAAATTTTATGAGGATTGATACTTTTTATATTCGTCATCGACATAGTTTGACGCCAAATTTCGAACATAACATATTTCTGGTTGAAAACCCTTTAGATCGACGTAAAATTTCATGGTGATTCCGAACTTGAACTGTCAGATTTTAAATCGATGAATCGTAGATAGACTCTGTTGGCGTCTAGCCGCTACCTACTGACTATTGGAATGTGTTTATGTCACTAACCGACTATCACAGACATGTGCAAACCTCGATTCGTTAGTATCAAGTCGACATTCAGATCAGCTCTGATTTAAGTTTATTATTTGTGTGTCCAGTTATTGATATGTCGTTCATATGTGTGATAGTAATAACGTAATTAGCTCAGTCTCTGAAAGGAACACTGAAAACAATAACAATGATAATTGAGCTCAGGAGTAGGCGTGTAAGAGTACAAAATTTCTTTATTGTCGATTGAGGTTGTTCCACTTTATAAGGCGTGAAAGGTGATTGATTACGATAGCTTCAAGCAGTGATTTATGAAAGCACATTGATAGAATAGCAGATCAAGCTCAGCACTGGTACAGGAGTGTGGGCATGCCCTTGAGATATTAGCCGAATCAAAGGAAGTTGAACTGGTATGGGTCCCGGAAACTAAACAGCAGACGAACTTGCTAGGGCCGGATCCGCGGAGCCGCTTCTGGGACCGCAGCCTGTACTAGGTATAGCAAGGAGCCAAATTACGTCAGCCCACGATGAATAGGCGGACAAGGCATTAGGAGAATACTGAAGGAATATCACAGGTTGCAGGCAGGCCAAGGAATTCATGGCTGGTCCAAGAAAATCAAGGAAGGAGTGGCTGCTTGGCAGAGACCGCCAAGTACTCCGCCTCTTCATAGGAGAAGCTAGATACTACACTCGAAACTATGCTAATACTTGTTAACAGAAATGCATTATTTATATCTTCAATCAATGCGAACAGATAGAGGACTAGATACAGCTCACTTCGAATAACTTGCATGGTTGAAAGTGGTAGTTTGGAGCAGCGATAACCCACAGCAAGACAGGTGAGTGCTGGACAAGCGCTATGGCCTGCTTAAGTCAGCTTCTGTTCCAGTGATCGAAACGTTGTTGGTTCACGCTCCCTTCTAAGACTACAGCTAATATGCTAGGCAGGAGTTGTGCAGGCTTGTGCACACAGGGTACCATGTAAGAAGCAAGAGCGATTGAGAAGCAGGCAATATGATATTAGGCATCCGTGGTTATAGCAGTGAGTATAATTATAATCAACTAGGTACTACTGAACTGTAGAAAATCATAAGATAAGCTGCAGGTTTGCTCGATTCTACACATCGGTACCTTGATCTCAGGTGGCCAGAGGTGGCAACTACAAAATGGAATTTGATAATCAATTTGTGACTAGAAATTCTATCCCATGGCAGGTAGTAGGCAGTGGACCGTCCTTCGACTACTCATATTTCTTAGTGAGTTCTGATTATATAGTTCAATTCCGGAATAATGCGATGGCACGTTTCAATAGTTTTTTAAAAACAAGCCTGTCAGATCTCACTATTTTGGCGGTATTTTTCCACAAGCTACAATAATTATACTGTGAATGTTTCGGATAATTCAACCATATACGTGTATTTTGCAGATTTGGACCAGAGGAAGCCTACAGTAGAGATCGAACCAAGGAGATAGCATATCTGATATCATGTATTAAATTTCTTCATTCATCCTCAGAGTTTCAACAGTACAACACATATTTCAATCACATTCGTATAAATAGATTCGGCACATCTGAGAGTATGCCTGAACGTCCCTCCACTGACGCAGAGGTGGCTGCTGTTAGCCAAGGAATATGAGAGGATATGTGAGGTGTTCGTTGCAGTGACCTATCTCCTAGGGCTAGGCCCTTTATACAGGTAATCTCGCTGGTGGTACCCCTAGGGTGGGGGAGTTGCACGTGCGCCATCAGAGTGGAAAGGGATTCTTGTGCGGTGAAGGAAAAAAAAATGGTAAAAAAAATAAGAAAACTTCTTCTTGTTTGTCTCGGGCAGTTGTGCGCATGTGTTTCCACATCGGCACTTCTGCCCGAGTTCAGTGTCTTTCATGACACTTTGTTATTTTCGAGCTGGGAGATAGTGCTGTCTAGAGTCTCCTCGGTGGCTCGGACATGTCCGAGCACCCGGGGAGGTTCCCGACTATAGATTGTCAGGCTCCCTAAAAACATCGGTTGATGCATATATCAGCCCGTGTTTTTTATGGACGTTATGGAGTTGTCTAAGTGTTGTTATATTCCGGGTATTCCAGCGATGTGGTATTTATAGAATGTATTAAAGATTTTCAAGATGTGTTCACTGACTCTAGGCAAATTACCACATCTCTCGTGGGGATCTGCCACTCGAGATTATCTATCACCGTTGGTGATAATACGGAGTACATTGTTCTGCAGCACCTGTAACCTATTCTTATGAGTAGGTGAGATGCTGCAGAATACTGGACACGCGTATGTCATCACAGGTCTGATGATCTGCTTGTACACCAGGACCTCATTCTCCTATGAGAGAGAAGAGGTCCTGGATAACAAGGGATACATCTTCCTAATTGCAGTCTGCGTTTTTTGTATAAGATAATTGGTATTTTTCCTGAGACTCATACGGGTGTCCAATTCGACTCCCAGGTATTTCACGGTGGTCGTGTCTGCCACCTCAACCCCTTTGACGGTCGAAGGTCTGCTCAATCTGGAGTTGTTTACTTTTTTATGGAAGTTGATGACTTCTGTCTTCTCACTGTTTATGCAGATCTTTGACTCGTCAAAGTACGGTATGATTTCCCTGTCCAGATGGATGCCCTGGCAATATTCGAGTCGTCCGAGTGAGCATATATTGCCGGGTCGTCGGCGTACAATGCTGTACTCGTCCGCTCAAATACAGGGGTATCATGCGTGTATAGGGTATACAACAGAGGTGAGAGGCACGACCCCTGCGGAACACCTGCCTCGAGTGGAAAATCTCCCGATATACTTTCGTTGACCTTGACCTTGATTTTCCTATCGGTGATATATGCATCGATAATCTTAATGATAATTATCGGCATCCTAGCCTTATGCAGTTTCGACATTAGACCCTCGTGCCAGACGGTGTCGAATGCCTTTTCTACGTCCATCATGACCATGACAGTGTTCTTGTTGTTTTTGCTGGCCTCTTTAACCTCGTGAACAATTCGAGCCACTTGGGACACACTGTGCTGTGCCCTGTGCGGAACCCGAACTGTTCCTTAGGTATAAGATCCAGCTTTTCTGTATGGTGTGATATGAGTCGTAAGAGGACTCTATCCACGATCTTGGCCACGGCGCTAAGCAGTGATATGAGGCGGTAGCCATTGGTAGAATTTGGGTTCTTGCCCTGTTTCGGGATCGGTACAACAAGCCCAGTCTTAAGGCATTCTGGGTAGTGCTGGCATTTAATGATTGCGTTGATGATGTAGTGCAATTGTACTATTGCTTTGCGCGACATGTTTCTCCAGGTATGCAGGATCTATGTAGCACTCGAAAGGAAGATGAAATATCGAGCATTATACCTAAATAATCTGTTCAAGGATTGCATAAAGGGTTTTAGACAACTCTGCTTTCAGTCTGTGCTCTCAAATACATTATCTCAAAGTGAAACCGTAACATCGTGCTAACGTTCATTGAATTGTGAACATAATCTAACAGACACATTTACCACACTTAAACACATTATTCGTAAAGGAGGAAGGAAAGCTCAAAGTCGTTCTGATGCTAATGAATAAGTGACCGCATGGCAGCTTGATGATGACGGAACTCAAAAAGAATTACCAGCTTGTGGTATAGACGTGTTCCTATATGCGTTCTATTCATTTACTGCCTATTTCCGGTTGAAAACCATCTACATGGATATTCCGAATCTATACTGTTAGATTCTTAATCGATGAATGGTAGATAGAAACTGTTGGCGTCTAGCCGCTACTGACTAGTGTAATTTGCTTATGTCACTGATCGAATCAAGTGTTTGCCCTGTCGTTTATATGATTGTGTAATAGCGTTCACGTTCATTGAATTATGACCGTAATCTAACAGACACATATACTACAATTAAACATATACATATACATGTCTTCACTCACGATGATTTGTACAACAAAAGCCGTTTCTCAAATAGGTAATTCATTGACAACTGATTCAATCTAATGCTGATGAATAAGTGACCACATGACCGCTTGATGATGATGGATACCGACGAAACATATAAAAAGTTCAGCCAATTCGACAGAGGAGGCATATTTCCCTTTTATTACGTGCGGTATCCTATGTTTCCTCAAATTATATAACAAACAAATTTATTGAGATAACAATAGGAAGTAACATTCCATACACAAATTCGTAAACTATTTAACTTGACGAGATATAATTTTCATGTTCAGGTACTAGGTCATGGAAAAAGGCGACTCAGGATTCGTTTGAAGGAAATGATTCCCTCTGGCCCTAGAATGAAAAATGGAAGTTGTTAGTTTCAGAATCGCTGGGGAAAAATGCATGAATGTTTTCAAATACAGCAATCTGCCTCAGAAACGAAGTTTTCCAATCATCATAAACCTCATTTCACTTACTTAATACAGAAATCAATATTCATTTCACTTAATACAGAAATCTATAGTTGTGAAATTCAAATTGAAGTGAGAAAAGTGATATCCTGTATGTACTCACTCCCAATCTACATAAAGCCCCATCCTGGTGGTGGGCCTCATTTCAGGAGTGCACACTCCTTCCGTGTATTCAGCCCAATTGTTGCATGCTACAGCCCCCTGGAAAGCGTTTGGATTCACCACCGATTCTGCGTAAAACTGGTACGACCTCCAATGGCTACAGAAAACTACAAAAACATACGAAAAAGTTGAAATACATGTATTATCTATACCATGGGCCACCCTCATGAACATTATATCAACACTCAAAGAAATACTCAGTAGCGTCGAATACCGTAAAATAGGCGCCAGTCACTACATTATTCATCTAATAATACCACAACAAAATTGTATCATACTATACTATAAGTATCATACCATTTTGTAGTGCTAATTTTCATATAGTATATTATGTAGTAACTAGAGCTTATTTTATTAAACGTTTGGTATTTACCACCGACTATTTTTTTTCCAGTGTATGTAGCGATTTTTTTTATGTGTGAGGGGAAAAGGTTTATTTTGGAGCAAAGCGGTGTCCACTTTTTCAAAAGATCAAGGCATATTAGATCGCATTCAGAGGCTGAAAAATCCACAATCCACACATGAAAATCCTTGTATCTTTGGAAATGATCGCCAATGACCTTGAGCTACTTTATACGGATTTTGAGGTGGTGCCTTTGCTATCATTGTGTAGATGTCGCTACGTATAAATGTACTCCAAGTGTTGTTTTTCTTTTTGAGAGTAGCACTAGAGTTTGTCGTATTGTCAAGAATTTTGTCAAAATCTCATCATCGTATGTGAAGTTCTTTCATTTACTATGAATGTGCATCATGAAACGGCTGAGGGGAACATGTTTCGGACAGACATGTGTTCATCATCAGCCTTAATCCTTACAAACCAAAGGTTGTGAGAATGAAAAAAAAACATTATGAGAAACTTCGAATAAAATCATTGTGCGAAGCACCGGTTAAGGGTCAGGTTAATTTTATAAGGTTCCTGTACCTCTTTCAGGAAGTACATGATCAATATTCAATGGCGAAACCCATTTCTGGAAAATAACGAAAAAACGGTGGAGTCAAATAATTACTCGAAAACAAACCTACATCATCAGATAATGGAGGACAAGTCTCCTCCTTTTTTTTTCCAAATCAACACACATAATTAAATTGTTAGTAATTTGATTATTTCAAGAGGATTCCATAGCAACAATAAGTATATATGTCTACAAAAAGATGCCTGCAAATACAGGTGTACTACTCGGTTTTTGGATAATCTCTCCGATACGCGTCATGACGACAACCACGACCTAGAGCTACAATCTAAGACTTTTTTTCCTCTGTATTAATTATTCTCTAATTTCAAGTAATGATGCAATACTGAACTGATGATGTACACTCACCGGCAAAATAATCGATCCACTCAAAATATTGATAAAATTTGATCAACGGTTACTTCGTTAATTCATGTCTGATTCGTTCAATGTTTTTTTATTCCGTAGGTAGTTTCATTAAGAATCACACATAATGTTGAGATTTTGAGAAATGAGGCATATCTTCAAATTATACAATGTGACAAAAAAAGTGCATTTTTACTTCAATTCTAAAACAATCTCTGGAGTGGCTAAGCTGGTACATCCTGTAATTTTTCAGTCAATCATCAAGCTACGTTCATTACGAACATTTTCTTTATATATTTGTTAGGATAACCGCATTTTTGTGGAAGTTACAAGGGTTTCAGAAGAACGTTACATTTCCACATTTTTTTCTATGGTAATAACAAGGTTCCCCAAGACATTTTTTGCATAGCTGGCTGTGACAGACCTGTCAGTTGACAATTTGTATGCTTGTGTTAATCATGGAATGGTTGAATAAGATATGGATCTTTCTGCAACTGACTCTGCGAGGGGTATTGCTTTGGTGCAGGATGGTAGATCACAATATTATGTGGCCAGAGCTTTGGGAGTTTCAAGATCCAGGGTGCAAAGGGCTGTGAAACGGTTTCGTGAAATTGGTGTATTCACAAGAAGAGGTAATAGTGGTCGGAAAAAATCTACGAATGATCGAGATAATCGCTTCATAACGCTCAAAGTTCTGAGGGACAGAAGACTTACTTCTGTCCAATTGAAAAACGAATTAGAGGAGGTGAGGCAAGTCAGCGATAGAACAATAAGAAGGAGGCTCTTCGATTTTGGACTCCGAGCAAGAAGACCTGCAACTGGTCCAGAGTTATTGAAGAATCATCGAGTTATTCGCCTCAGATATGCTAGGGAACACGAATATTGGGATAATGAACAATGGAGCAATATCCTATTCACCGACGAGTCAAGGTTTTGTCTCAGATCACCGGATGGACGTGAAAGAATTTACAGAAGAACTGGAGAACGTTTTCTCCTAAACCATTTTTTGCCAAGATATAGGCATGACAATGCCCGACCGCAAGTTGCAAGGATTGTGAATAAGTATTTAGCCGATGTTGAACTCCCAGTAATGCATTGGCCTCCTTGAAGCCCCGACTCGAACCCAATTGAACATGTTTGGGATGCTCTCGAGAGAAAAGTACGATCTCATTTATCAGCTCCTGCAAATTTACAGCAACACAGTGAAGTGTTAATTGAAGCATGGCAGCAAATCGATCAGGTATATATTCAGAATCTGATAATGGGCATGCCAAGACGAAATGCAGCAGTTATTCAAGCACGGCGTGGGGGCAATACATCGTACTGAATTTATTAGCAATTTTCAAATGATTATCAGGTTTCATTCGTTACGTCGGTTATGTTCATCATTGCCTAATTCGAAATGTTTAATATCACCGCAATGTATAAATGTAATGTTTTTTTGAAACCCTTGTAACTTCCACAAAAATGCAGTTATCCTAACAAATAAAAAAAGAAAATGTTCGTAATAAACGTAGCTTGATGATTGACTGAAAAATTACAGGATGTACCAGCTTAGCCACTCCAGAGATTGTTTTAAAATTGAAGTAAAAATGCCTCGAAAAATGCACTTTTTATGTCACTCTGTATAATTTGAAGATATGCCTCATTTCTTGAAATCACAACATTGTGTGTGATTCTTCATGAATTTACCTACAGAATAAAAAATTGATTGAACGAATCAGACATGAATTAACGAAGTTATCGTTGATCAAGTTTTATCTATATTTTGAGCGGATCGATTATTTTGCCGGTGAGTGTATATTATGTGGTTTCAGGGAGGTTCTGAGTGGATTGAATTTTTTGTAGGGCGGGGGGGCATGGGGAAATCGAATGATGGATATAACAACAATATGAAGGTCTTCAGAATAAACGCAATTTTTCGAGCACGACGGGCTAGCCGCAAGCTAAAGCACAGTTGAAAGAATTAATACATCAGTTGCCGCAATCTCTCAAAAGTTCAAAACGTCCGTTGTATCGGCTTCTCCAAAAAATTGCATCGCGTCTTTTGATAGCACATAGTGTACACGGTCTGCTGCGGGATACATCTCAATTGTTTGTGATAAATTTTGTATCAGAATGGGAAGATGAATAAATTTGCACTGAGGTATTTTCATTCTGCCGATGGTGCAAATTTAAATTTGCCTCCCCCACTAAAGACACATTACATCAAATGAATGCAGCTGACAGCGACACGGTTTTGATCTAGAAATATCGAGTGGCTAAAGTATCTCGACCGATACTTCACTCACCTTTCTCGAGTATGCCGTCCGGATTCCTCTTCTTGATTTCCGGTATCTGGCATCCGGGTTGCGGCGCGATGCCCTGATTGGGCCAGAAGTCGACGTGGCCGACGGACGTCGGGTAGCCGAAGATGCCGGCGTCGGTGTGGATGACGTCGACGAATTCGGCGTCGCTGGCGTCCAGCTTGAGGCTCTTCGGCCATTTCTTGAACAGCGGCCCCGCCGGGTCCATACCTGGCAAAGAGAAAACGACACGTTTTTCATTTCCAGGGTTAGTGAAAACAAAAATCAAATATGCAAATAGGCGATGTTGGCGTCTAGCGCTCTCAGATACCTCCTACTGACTAGTGGAATGTGCGTATGATACTGACTGGCTATCCCATAATTGTGCGAATACTGAATCTGCTGATAAGTACCTATATTCCTTGACTATACTATATAATGAAGAGGATAGATTTGATTGTTTTTTTGTTTGTTGAAACAAGGCAATTCAATTTATTGATATCAAATAATTATAAGTCGAATTTTGGTAAACAATCAATATTCTATAATGAAATAATTTTGTATAACTCCTTACCTAATGAGTTGAAAAATATAGGAGAAGCAGAAAAATTTGAAATGAAATTAAATAAATATCTGCTCAGTAAACTTTAATTCCATATCTACAAATAGTACTAATCATTCACAATTTGATTACTTGTAATGGGTTATGATATTTTCATTTTATATTTTATTATAATTTTTTGTTTAGGAAAAACAATAATTGTGCAATTATTATTGTTTCGATTTATTATGTTTTATATGTATGTTTTGTTGTATATATCCCTATTATAAACAATAATGTTTCTTGGGGTAATAAAGACAATCAATCAATCAATTACAAAATTCAAGATGGTGGATCCAATATATATATATCGAACGAGATCTGTAATTATGATTCGATTCTATTCAAAATTGGTATCTGGGAGTTTCCGGGGTCAGAAATTATGATTCTCTTGTCAGAATTTGAAGATTCAAGATGGAGGAACCAAATCCGCCATATCGAGTGAGTTTGGTAATTATAATCCGATTCTTTTCAAAATCAATACCTAAGGGTTTCCGTGATTATGATTTCTTCTTCAAAATCAAGGAATTCAAGATGGCGTATCCAAAATGGCGGATTTTGTAATTATGATCCGATTTGATTCAAATTTGGTATCTGGTGGTTCTCGAGGTCGGCGATAATGATTCTTTTGTCAAAATTAGGAAATTCAAGATGGCGAATGAGTAATGTTATTATGAGCTGACTCTCTTGTTATCTGGCTGTTTTCGGGGACGGAGGTTATATTTTTTTGTCAACATTTGGAAAGGGCGGGATTTGGAAATTTAAGACGGTGGAACCAATATACCAGACGAGTTTTGTAATTATATATCGACTCTATTCAAAATTTGTCAGTGGGCGTTCTCGAGATCAAGAATTATGATTCCTTCGTCAAAATTAGGGAATTCAAGATGGTACATCCAATATTGTGGACGAGTTTTGTAATTATGTTCCGATACTATTCAAAATTTCCATTTGGGGTTTTAGGAGTCAGATTCTTTCGTCACAATTGAGAAATATGAGTGAACTAAAATAAAGTTTAAATAAATATGGTAGTTTGAAAAACTTAAGGAACACGCTTTTATATAGATAGCGAAACTAACAAGTAGTAGAAAATGAAATGATAGTAGTGTCTTGAGGAATATTGAACTGCAAAAATATATTATAGAAATATTGTGTATAGCAAAACAACGTTTGCGAGGTCTGCTAGTCCGTTTATATTCGTGATAGTGTTCGCGTCCATTTAATTGTGAACGTTAGCTTATAGGCGAGAACACCAATTTCTAGAAAAATTACTATGCAGTTCATCCCGATAAAGAAAGCACAAAGATTCTTTTGATTTTCCCATTCTCTCTAGATTTCCCAAAATAAATTTCCCAAGAACTGCTCAGGCTATACCACGTCGGGAAATGTCAACAGTGCTGACGTCACAAGTAATAAGACCGACAGTCTATTGGTAGTCGATAAATAATGTTCGAATGATATCTCCTTTTTTTTTTCATCGCTTGGAGCGCACGGAAGGGAATCCCTATAATGTTCAAAGAACATCGTGCGTTCCTAGAGAGGATAGGAAAAGGAGGTAGGTATTGAAATTATTTTTGAACTTCTGGAGATTATATGTTGTTGGGAATAATTTCCACAGGCAATGAATTCCAGAGCCTAGCCGTTCTATGGATGGAGGAGTCTTGATAAAGTGCTGTTCGACATCTTTCGAGGTTGACAACGAAAGGATGTGCTGACTGGGCTTGTCTAGTTCGTCTGACTGGTATTGCTAGTGAAGGGATGATAGCAGAGATTTCCGAAGAACATTTCCCGTGGAAGTATCGATAGAAGAGTGAAAGGTCGCCGACCTTTCAACGGTGTTCCAATGATGTCAAAGAGTGAGTGAGTGTGTCGTCACCCACCAGGCGAATGGCTCTTCTCTGGATGGAATCTAAGAGCATCAGCGTATGTTTCGATGCTGAACCCCATATGTGGAAACAGTATTCTAGAACAGGCCGTATCTGCCCTTTGTAGATCATGAAAAGCTGTTGAGGTGTAAAGTAGCTTTTTGCACGGAACAAGAATCCCAGTTTTTGTGAAGCAGCTTTTGCGATGGACCTGACATGATTATCCCATGAAAGAGTGTTGCTGATGGAAATACCGAGCATAGATATGGTGGGCTTGGTGGGGATGGTTGAGCCAGACATTACAATATCGGGCATACTGAGTTCCGCCTTTCTAGAGAAAATACAGGCTTGAGTTTTGGTGGCGTTGAATTCAACTAGGTTGTTGGTTCCCCAGGCTGTGATTTCAGCAAGATCTTCATTGACAGCATTGACCTGCCTGCGCCGTGAGTTCTTAGTTTCCTGGTAAGAAATAGGAATTCTGGAAGAGAACGCGGTATGGATGGTACTATCATCTGCAAAGCTGTGGATGGGGCAAGTTGTTACTCCCAACAGATCATTGGTCTTGCGTACCTAGAAAGGATATGGAGAGAAGGTAGATGTGTAAGATTTTTTTTTAACTATTGGAGGTTTTAAGTTCTTGTGAATACCGTGGAAGTATCTATAGAGAGTGGAAGTTCGCCGTTTTCTACGATGTTCTAGTAGGGCCAAAGAGTTGGTGAGTATAGCATCACTCTTTAGGCAGATGGCTCTTCTCTGAATGGAATCTAAAAGCATCAGCGTATGTTTCGGTACTGAACCCCATACATAAGAACAGTATCAGACGACACTTCGTTCACCACCACATATAAAGCGATCTGCCTGAAAGAAAATTCAATGAAAGAAGGAATAATTGGGGTAATGATATATATGATGGTACTTTGTGGACGAGTCCGTGGTGCCAAACACGGTCGAATTCTTTCGATATATCTATTGCCACAGCTATAGTGATTCCCCATATTTTTTATAATGAAGCTTGCCATATATGGATGACGTTGAGTTGAGTTGAGTTGAGTAAGCATCGGGGGGACTTGTCGAAGTCCAGACAGCTAGACCACTAGTGTGGGTCCATTGTGTCGCCCCGTGAGTATGGCATCCTCCACAAGAGTCCCGCAGCTCTGCCGAAGGCTAGGATGTCGGTAGCCGGGATGTTTGGCGCTTCTTCCGCTGGAAGAGTCGTTTGTCCGAAACTCCGCCATCTGAGCTGTGTTAGCGCAGGACATTCACATATGATGTGGATGGGAGTTTCGTCGTTTTCGAGACATAAACGGCATGTTGGGTCATCGGAGATGCCCAGAATGTTTAGATGTCTGTTGAGGCGACAGTGTCCAGTTAGTAAGCCAGTGACAACTCTGCATTGACTTCTTCGCATATTCAGGAGGGATTGGGTGAGACGTATCGAAGGCCTATCAAAGAAGGTCTTCGCCTGCTCATACCCCTGGATTCAGTCCATTCCCGACAAAACCACTCTGTCAGAAGTTCTTCAAGTTTTCGCAGTCCTGTGCAGAGAGAAATGCTCACGATGGGCTCTGGGCCCTTAGGACGGGCTGAAGAACCTTGCCTTGCAAGAGCATCGGCTCTTTCGTTGCCATCTATCCCACTATGTCCCAGAACCCAAAGTAGTTCGATACGGTTTTCCCTTGCTATCCCAGCAAGGTTTCGTTTGCAATCTAAAACCAATCAAGAGACCACTCTTGGTGCTCGTAGAGCTTTGAGAGCGGCCTGACTGACGGAGCAGATGGAGATGCGCTTGCCTCTTATGTGGCGTCGTGTGATTTCTTGTGTGCAGGCAAGGATGGCGGAAACCTCAGCCTGAAATACAGTGGCAAATTGTCCATGGTGTTGAAACTCTTCGTAGTCTTGATTCTGCCCGTATACGCCAGCACCAGTGAGATTCCCAGCACGAGACCCATCCGTGAACCACTGATTGGCGCAGTTGAGTCTGTACGCCGCTTTCATGGCTTCGTGCTCGATCACTGAGTGCAATAGTGGTAGCCCCACGAGTACCCCAAGGGCTGACGTAGGTGCGGTTCTCATTGCACCCGTAATGCCTACGCACACGAGGCGTTGCATGTGCTCCAAGGACCGTTCAGCGACAGCCAACCTGGTCCTTGCCCACCACACAATTGACGAGTACGTGATGATAGGTCTTTTCATGGTCGTGTAGATCCAATGTAAGACTTTCGGTTGGAGACCCCACGTGGTGCTGAAGGCTCACCTGCATACCCAGAATTCTGCAGAGGCCTTCTTTATACGGGTCTCCAAGTGTTCTCTCCATGGATGACGTAGGCCAGTTGATCTTCCTTGGCGATAATCAATGATTCCTGATGAGCTCTTTCTTGATATAACTTATGATGGTAATAGAGGCCTTAAGTTGTTGGACACTTTATCCCTTCTATTTTCGGGGATTGGATGGAAATCGAAAGGTATACGAATATTTTATTTCAGGGAGTCTAAAAGAAAAATCCAGATAGAAAAATTTGTTAAACGCAGTGACATTTTGGGGCAAATCATCTGATTTGTCCCTCTACAAATATATTGAAATAATACGAATACTTTTATTTTATAGAAACGAGGAGAGAAAATCCCAAAGAACCAAATAAAATGAATGTACCACCTCCTCGATTAACCTACAGACAGTATTTAGGTATACGAATGTTGTTTTTCGAAATATTTCAGCATATTTCGTCAAAAAAATGATGCATTTATGTGAAGTTCAATTCACTTTACGCATTTTTGTGTTCTCGACTGATTCTGAAAATAAAATTCACCGTACGTACCCGTGATCCTCTGTATCCTGCCGCTCCTCACGCTTTGGCCGCACACTCCTGCCATCTGGGCACCCAGACTCAACCCCGTCAGATGCAGACTGGGCAGGTGCAGCCCCCGCGACACCAGATAGTCGATGAGGCGGGCGGTGTACTGCCCTACCACCATCGTGTTCTTCGAAGCGGTCAGGTACCAAGGGCCGGCTTCCAAACGAGGCGCGTTCACCAGTATGATGTTGTGGTCACCTCGTTGCGTGTACGCTGGAAGTTTTTGATTTTTTCGTGAAATTTGAAACAAAAAATTGATAGTCACGTTCTTGCACTTAGATAAAACTGAGGCATGAACGGGCTAGATAAAACGATTTTTGTAGCAAGTAGTTCATTTTTGAGCCTTGTCAGATGCCGGCTGGGCAGATGCAGCTCTTTTGACAACAGATTGTCGATGAGGAGCACATCCGCTTCTTCAAACGTTTACTCTGTTTACCAAAAAATACCCCTGATTATATTGTGCGCATGGAAACTAAGTCAATCAAATTATCATACATGATATTCAAATCCTCTTTAACTTGGCTCAATAGATTGAAAACAATGAACAACACGAGACTATCCAGAATTTGTTATGAACGTTTACTAATTTTATTTAATTGGCTTTTACAGGTGAAAGAAAACTTCTCATTTGCAGATTGTGACAACCTATGGCAATACTTTCTGAATTATCAATCCAAAAAACTAATGGATGATGTTTTGACTAAATTCAAGCAGAAGCTATTATCTCTCGACTCAGAAAAACTTGTGAATTCTTCCTTTCCGCTCATATACAATGGCCTATCAGTCTACGAACTATCAGAATCCTACACCTAAGTGTTCCCACGCCACTTTACATCACGCGTATCATTGCCCAAATCAGGACTTGCAGCAAAAAGTCCTCGATGTTTTCATTTCATGGTTCAGTTTACATTATTGACCCCACAGAAGTTTGCTCAATTTGCAATCTACGAGTAACTGAATCCCTGCAACATATTCTGTTAGAACGCGATTTTGTCAGAATTGAGAAGTATTGATGATCTAGTAGTTCTACTCAACACCCATAACATTGTATATCTAACAAAGCTTGTGCAGTCTTTGATGAATATTATGAAGTTACGAGCATCCATTATGAATGAATGAATTTTAAGCTATTAGGGATTGTTTTAGTACTCTCTCGATTATTAGGCTTTAGATTGGTATAAATAAACTTATATATGTTGCTATGCACATATGGGAATTTGTATAACTATGAAACAATGTTTTTTTGTAGTTTTTTTTTTCTAGCTTCATTTTCTTTCTCTCTTCACTTTATTCATTTCACTCAGATCAGTCACTGTTAATGCATAATCATGATCGCATATAATTCGAACCCTTGTGATGAAAAATGTATTTTTATAAACACAATAAATCTATCTATCTATCCACCATCGTGTTCTTCGAAGCGGTTGAGAAGCAAGGGCTGGCTTCCAAACGACGCACGTTCACCAGGATGATGTTGTAGTCACCTCGTTGCGTGTACTCTAGACATTTTGTGGAATTTGAAACGAAAAATTGATAGTCACGTTCTTGCACGCAGATAAAACTAAGCTTTAAACGAGCTAGATGAAACTTTTGTTGTAGCAAGTAATTTCTTTTTGAGCCTTGTCAGATGCAGGCTGGGCAGATGCAGCTCTCTTGACAAAAGATAATCGATGGGGCGGGCGGTGTACTGCCCCACCACCATCGTGTTCTTCGAAGCGGTCAAGTACCAAGAGTCAGCTTCCAAACGGGGCGCGTTCACCAGTTGGCAAAGCAAAAAGGAAGACTTTATTGTGTGAAACTATAACAAGTCGTAGGATGTGATGTCACGATTCATAGAAGAGAAATAGGAAACTGATACTGACGATCGCCAAACTAGTGTAGATCCTCGTGTGTTCTGTGAATAACTGGAATACGAAAAAGTTACTCGGTTTTCAGATCAGGAACATAGACACTGAAAATTGTAGATCAAAGATCAGTGAGAGTTTTTTTTTGTTTTTCGAAATATTTCATGAAAGTGTTATAGTATATTTATACAAGTTTTAATTAAAGACACTATTTTGTTAGCAACAATTACCTATGTCTCGTATACCGTGTGTAATATATACTATTTTTTCTATTTTGCATTCATCTCTGAATACATTTTCATTCCAGAAAATGTCATCAATGGAAACATCGAATATTATAAACATTTGGATAATGTTCATTCTCTATAATCAAACAAAACAGTTTGACGTCACAATTACCATGTTTGAAAGAGGAAATTCCGGGTGTCCTAAGAGAAGCTCTTTTGATACGCATTCGGGTGTCAAAAGGAGTTCATTAAATACGCAAGATAGTAGTAATTAATATACAGGGTGGTCCGTTTTTCAATACGGAAAATTCAACAGCGTATAGTACTTGTTGAAATAATAGATAAACTTCCTATGAACATATACTTTCAAACGCTTCGTTTTCGAGATATAAGGTGTTCAAGTTTCTTCAAAAAATCGATTATTTATTGATATCTCAGAAATGCTATAACCGATCGTGATGAAATTGACTTATTGTGGAAATATCAATGAACTAACTTTTAGACCCATTACAGTTCATGAATGAGTTACATATTTTCAGGGGCGTGCATTTCAAAATACAACTTCTTTGCCCTCTTAGATTTTCTTATCTAATAGCTTCGTTTCAGAAGGAAAAATAAAAACCAAACCTATGCATGTCTCTAAACCCAATGGGAGAAACATTGTAATGCATTAAATCTAGTTAGCATTGGCCGTTCACCAAACCAATCATGTAACTATTGCAAATCAATCATTTACGTATTAGAAGAGCCACAACAGGTCATAGACCGCAGTGGATATATGCTATTTGTCTTCAATGTTGCCGAGCTAGTACATTTTTACTCCATCTTTAATCGATATGAAGTAGTATTATTCAACTTAAAAATTTTATAGAATCTAACATGCGAGCTTTTTTCATTGAAACTTGAAAAATAAGTGAAAAATAATCACCCGAAAAATTTGTGTAATCATTACCTTCGCCACCCCAGATTCAGCCGCCACTGAATAGTTCTTATAAATAATTTTTATTTAATCTGAGCTCAGAAAGTTTGGTATATCTGTGAAAATTGTTAATTTATCTCCCGTTTCCAACTGTTAAATATTGAAATGATTTACCATCCTGTATTTTTCTGTTATTGGAACTGAGAGTGATGGATGTCATTAGAATTTTTTGAATTATTGTCAGATTGATGTCAGTAATCTGAATAAAAGTTTTTGATCGTTTATCGATATAATTATTAGTTACAATCTTCTAGATAGATAGATAGATAGATAGATAGATAGTTTTATTGTGTTATAAAAAAATTACATTTTTATCACAAGGGCTCGGTATGCAAACATGATTCCACATGGATCATAAGTTGAGTAACTAATGTAGGTACATTACACATTACAGAGTTATACAAGTTCCTAAGTATACCTAATAGCCACATTTTTAACAGTCATTCATTCATAATGAACGATCGTAACTTCATAATATTCATCAGGGACTTCACAAGATTTGCTAAGTGTAAAATATTGTGAGTATTGAGTAGAAGTACTAGACCATCAATATCGCCGATTTCCGACAGAATCGCATTTTGCCTTATGCCTGAGTAGATAGGACATTCAAATAGGATGTGATGCAAAGACTCGGTTGCTTGTAAGTTGCAAATTGAACACATCTCAGTTGTGTCTATGTGGTAAAAGGAACCGTGAAACGAAAACATCAACGACTTTTTGCTGGAAGTTCTGATTTGAGCAATAATGCGTGTTATATAAATTTGTGAGGGAATACTCAAGTAGGATTTTGAAGGTTCGGAAACTGTTAAACCATTGTATAGGAGTGAGTACGAAGAACTTGCAAGTCTCTCAGAGTCGAGCAAAATTAGCTTTTCCTTGAATTTGTCCAGAATATCATTCGTGAGCTTTTTCGAGTTATAGTTCAGAAAGCGCTGCCATAAGTTCTCACAATCGGCAAATATAAAGTATTCTTTCACCTGCGAAAGCCAATTAAATCTAATGTCATTTCTCTCTAAATCAAGTAGACGTATATAGCAAATTTTGGAAAGTCTGTTGTTTTCCATGGTTTTCAATTTGTTGAGCCAAGATAACGAAGATTTGAATATAATGTATGATAATTTAATGCAGCTAGTTTCTATGCGTATAATATAGTCTGGAGTATTTTTTGGCAAACAAAGTAAGCGTTTGAAAAAACGCACTTGAACACGCTCTATAATATCCGCGTAACGAAGGCCCCAGATAGCAATACCATATGATAACGAGGACAACACAATAGATTCATATAGTTTGATTCTCGATGACCAAGAATTGACTTTTGAACGGAACATTAAATTCATTACAGATCCAATTGCCTGGTTGGCTTTCATGACCGTTCTTTTGGCCATTTCTAGAAACAAGGATGATGAAGAAAATTCTGTCCCTAAGTATGTGAAGTTTCTTACAACTTCTAAGACATGATCATTGCAAGTGAATCTTTGGTTATAGTTACTGATATATCCTCCTCTACAAAAAACCATAACTTTAGTTTTGCTCGTGTTTATAACGAGTTTATTATCTGAAGCATAATTTTCCAGAACTTTCAGTTTGCGCGATAGGTCTACTGGGGAATCACCAAGAATAACTATGTCATCAGCATATGATAACATCAATATGTCGTTTTTTCCATCAATATTTAGTCCTGTTAAGCCGTGTGTCCGAAAGTAGTCTTCAATGTCAGCTATGAAAAGAGAAAATAAAAGGGGACTTAACGATTCGCCCTGTAAGACTCCTTCAGAAATGTCAAATTTTTTGCTGAACATGTTATCTTGTTTTATTGAAAAATATGCTCCATCATAGAGATTTTTTATGATCCTGATAATTTTCGAACTTATGCCTACTCTATACAATTTCAGCCATAGTAGATTATGATTAATGCTATCGAATGCTCGACGAAAATCAACAAAAACTGCATAAACTTTCCTTCCACGAAGCCTAAGGTGAAATTGTAAAACAGAGTTTAATACAAAAATACTGTCCTCACAGCCCCTGTTCTTTCTAAAACCAAACTGAGACTCTGGAAGAATAGAATTATTTTCGCACCAATTTGAAAGACGGTTCAACAGTATTAAAGTAAAAAGTTTTACTAAGCAGTTGATCAATGCAATTCCACGATAATTATTTGGA